AGGCATGCAAAGTGGCAGGCCTGCAGCTCGACATTATCGGTGCGATGGACGAAAGCTCTGAAGGAGAAGATGAAGACAATGACGATGCTGATGATGAGAACGAGGATGATGACGAAGAGAGCGATTAAACAATCTGACTGAGTTTCTTTGGATGCACTACCGCTTCAAAGGAAGACGAATGTTACTTGCCGTATAATAAACCAATAGAATTACTGAGAAGTAGACCTAAAAATCAAAACATTGTCAATCTCATCACGGCGATGTAACGTCATCCATATTGGAGCAGCACTTCAAACTTGCCCTTTACTACAACCCCTTGGATCGCCCTTCTTCTTGATGAACGTCCCTCTCTTTCTTTTCTTGACAACTGTTGTCTTCCTGTTTCCGTTCGACTTCCTCCTTACTTCTTCGCCAGCCTCTTTCCTCTTGCCCTGATCCAAATCATTCGTATCATCTCCATTTCCTACATATCCAGCCACAGCCTTGCTCTTGCATCTTTCACTTGTCCGCCACTCCCTAAACCGTCTTAAAATCTCCCCCGTGATAGCTATAACAACCATAGCCACACTCTCCGCCTTGAGCTTAACATGAAATACCTGTGACTATGTAAAACGTAGTTCTGGTAGAACGTTCCACACATTCTTGATACCGTCGATGGGGTAGGAAATGAGTGTAGAAAATGTGGTGAAATGTATCGTGGAGTTGGTTGCGAACATTGCTAAGTGTGGTACGTTTGGACAGTAAATGAGAAAGCCAAAGAAAAGCCAGAGCGCAGAAATGGTAATGTCGGAGTTGTGTTGGTAGTCTTTGCTGGCCGAAAGATAGTTGTGATAGAGGCTGGCGTCGAGTATTTGGTGGTGAGCCAAGAAGGTTTTTGGTCATGGTTGTGCAAGTAGGATAGTACTTATTCACTACTCCAACTGCATGGCCTCATGTCAAGACGGGTGAAGTTGCGCATCTCCTTCCATATTGGTAGCTCGACGGCCAATATCGGACACTGTGAACTCCGTATGCTTTTCATACATCTTCCGCTGTGCTTGATATGTGTGTCGATTCTTTTCGAAGATAGGGGCAGAACTACATCATGGATGACGGCCTAGGAAACCAGATCGGTAGGTGATGTATGTTATTGTTGATTACTACATTTGGAATACATTTCTTTCCCCTTGCGCTGGTGCAGCAAGCAGACAAAAATGATAGTCCTCTTTTGAACCTTCAGAACAGAGGTGAAGGCTGCAAGCCGGCCATAGAACATGTACATGGAGTAAATAAAGTACCAGAAACATTGGCACAGCCGTTGTTGGGCGATGTGGATCGGACAGGCGTGAGCAGTAGGGCTGATGTCTTGCATTAGCGCTCACTCTCAATTAATTCAAAACCCGCCGTATAAGCGACTCCACATGTCGTCTCGATCTGGCTTGACTGTCAAGTCTAATGTGCCGTATACTCTATGCTGGATCGTGTTGTTTGATTGCAGGTGGTTGTGTCTAACAAAGTCCGCTTCTTTCATTTTCTGAGCCACATGCGACTAGCGCGCGCTAGACAGTGGATGACGCGCCGTGCCGTGTCAGTTGAGATGACGTCCAGCGTCTAGTATCGCGCGTGCGCTCAAATCGTCGCCATCAAACTTTTCACACAAGCTTTTCAGCTTGTTTGACCGATGATGTCGGGATCACGATGACCGAGTGATCGATTGCTTTGTGCCAAGCTCGGCTACGACATCCAAACCCCACCCACGACACAGACACACGGACCACGTGCCAGGCGCCCGCTTTGTGCGACATCAACCCACAAGCCAGTGCCTATCCATAATATTTCGCGTCGACAAGCACAACATTTCCCGTCTCCTTGCCTCAGTACATGTAGGAGACAAACAAGGCGTCACAATACCCGCAGCAGGCCCTCTCCACCACATTACGAGTATGCATAGTGCGAGTAGATCAATAAGAAGGCATCGACAACATCGTACTAAATATGGATGAACATCTCCGCATTCTCGAGGTATGTCAGGGGAATGCACAAGGCTGTCGCACGACCTCGCTAACAACACGGTCCACAGCAAGAATTTTGCCCACCAATCGACCCCAGCCTTATATCTGCCATTTACTCAGATTATGTAGGCCAGGCGGACGCGATTGGCTCAGTCAGAGCGCTCCTCGGTCCTCTCAAAGCCTCCGCGGTAACTGAACAACTTACCGATTTCGAACCTTCGGGCTTTGGCGGCTCTGTTCAGGATAGTCCAGGGAAGGGTAGTGCCGATGCCGAATCAGCCGACACGTGGGCGACTCAAACCGTCTCAACAGACCGGTCCAACCTTTCGAGCGAGCAGTCGACACTCAGCGCCAGTGGGCGGTCAGAAGGATCGTCGGGTGGAGGGTATTTCAAGGAGACCGAGCATTTTGACGTGCAGACAAAGGAGCAGCTGCTCGCAGAGACATTCCCTAACTTACGCTTCGACTTGATTACACGTATACTGAAGAAGTGCAACAACGATTACGACAAAGCGACGGACGAGCTATTGAATCACGTCTACTTTGAAGACGCTCGAGCGACCCATTCAGACGATGGCCCGATTGCAAAGGGCATCGACGCTTTCTCGGAAGACCATCATGTGCCCCAACGAGGGAAAAAGGGCAAATCGAAAAAGCAGAAGAAGGCGCCTTTGGCAAATCTGGATTCAGTCTACATGTCTGAATCAGACAAAACACCTACTAATCGATGGCTCAATACTCAACGTGACGTTGAATTCATAACATCACGCACGGATGTTCCTCTGCATATGGCCTCCTCACTTTACCACAAACACGGTGCATCTTTATCGACGACAATTCTCGAGATCGTACGAAGGAATATCAAAGCACATAATAAAGAGATAGAGCCAGACGCCGCGCTAGTGCAAGACGCCATTGTCCTGAATGCAGGCTTCCCTACCCTCGGTCTCGACTACGCCCTCGCACTCGTGCGCCTCACAGCACCATCTACCACGAATGCACACGAGCTCGCAAAGGCCCTTACACAGCAGCCTGCGAGCGAAACAGGGGGCAAGGGGGGCATCAGGCTCGATCTACGCTACACACCACTCAACCTCTCTGATCCTACATCCGAGTCCACGTCACAGAAGCTACCAACCCTCGCACCCACTGCCCGGCCCCGCGATACTGCATCGATAACCCGCGCACGCAGTGAAGCCTTTCAGCAGGCCTCCTCCGCGTATCGAAAAGGTCGCTCCACACCCCTCATGAAAGCCGCTGCAGGCTACTACGCACAAGAAGGTCGGGATCTCTCTGCCAACTTGCGCGCTCTCAGTGCCACCGAAGCCGATACATTTGTCATGTCGCAATCTGGCCCATCATATCTTGATCTTCACGGCGTCACTGTTGCAGATGCGACCAGGATCGCCAAACAACGAACACAAGCTTGGTGGAATGGGCTTGGTGAACAGCGGATACCTGAATGGAGTGGTGCGGGGAGAAGAGGTGGAGGGGAACCATTTAGGATCATCACTGGATTAGGACGGCATAGTGAAGGCGGTAGAGGGAAGCTGGGGCCTGCGGTCGCAAAAATGTTGGTCAATGAAGGGTGGAAGGTAGTGATCGAGCCGGGAGAGCTGCTCGTCACAGGGCTAGCAAGGAGGAGATATTGACAACTTGCGATGGTATGTACTGGTTTCATGTAGAGGCTATTAGCCCGCATACGTCTGATCTTGGTTTGCATGCCGGAGAGCCTAGCATATCAAGTGTCTTTAATTCCATTGCATATAGTCTAGACTAGAATGTACATCTCCCAAGTCATTGGCCAGGACGTCTTGACATGTGATACCCTCTGAAATCGATTTCACAGGCTAAGGCAGTCAAATAAAGGCCTCTGTGAAGACTGTTTTCACTCCATTCCTCCTATAGCGAAACCTATACATAATAAGAGCTCATGTCAATAGCAACGACATCGTAACCGAACGTCCCCTTATGCGTTCCTCACTACATGACTAGCGCCACGCTAACTTAAGCTTCTTTGCAACATCCCTTACCCCACACCATCATCTGAAACACCCAACAAACCTCAATCCAACCCCCAAACATGGCCCGTTACAGCATGAAGAGCGCAAACAAAGGTTGTTGTATTGTCTGTTCTGATCGAGAAAACAGCAGGGAATGGCGCGCCGCGCGGACTCGTTTCGCGGTCGCCGAAACAAGCATCGCAGCAGGATATGTCTTGGATGATGATCACAACTAACGGCATGGTCGGAAAAGCGCCAATCAACAGTCCTGTCTGTACAGAGGACTATGAGCACTTTGTTCGCATATCTTGCCATCAAATGATGCCGAACAAGCAATACCGCCAATTTTTTGAACACAGCCGTCCTCTAGGCTTCGGTAGAGATCATCGCATCTTCCCAGCGATATTTCACAAGATTTCTCCTTATTTAAATCGAACTTTCCATCTCATAGTCCATCAAATATGATCGTCGGATTTGGAGTCCCCACCACCAGATCCATATTTTCCAGGCATCCTGAACGTAAACTGTTCCAGCCTGCTCAAGCCGAGACTCCACAAGCAACGCCAGAATGACGAATCGCATGACACGCATCACACCATCCCCGGAATTACAGAACTATGCTGTATCAAGCATCGGACCTTGGGGCGTGCTTAGGTGGATGATCCATCAAAACTTGACACCGGACACTTTGGCCCGCTTTCGGTGATCGGACCACTTCTGGGTGAGTTCTTGGTATATATATGTTGGCCTCCAAGCCTGACATGTTGGTTCCTTAGTTCGATACTCATTGAACAGTTTCAAAATTAAGGAATTGTCTTTTCTTCTCCTTCCTTTCGCCTACTTGATTGCTGCTAGCCGGCTTTTCATTCATACCTTCTCTATCAATCTCTCTACCAGATAGTTACTTTCATCTTCCATCTTTTACAAAAACAAGACATTCCTTCACAATGAAGTTTGAATCATCCGTTCTCCTAGCGACATTGGCAGCTTCGGCTGTCGCGGCCCCGGCACAATACCGCTACCACGCTGTCAACAAGCGAATTGCTGTACGTGCACTCTGTTTACCCACTCTATCTCCCTAGACACTCTCCTGTCCATTCATAACAACACGAGATACTAATACTTGATTTAGGAGAACAACGGAGGAAAGGTCCCAGCCCACATCGTCCCCTCTGTGCGTCGCCTCGCCGAAGAGAAAGTCAAGTCTAAGCGTCAACTTGATCAATTCCTCAATGGACTTACCGGTGGCGGTGGCGACGGCCCACTCTCTGGCCTTCTCAGTGGACTAGGAGGCGGTAATGGAGGTGCTGGAGGAGGTCTCAATAACCTACTCGGTGGCAACGCTGGAGGTGCCGGCAATGTATGTGTCATCTCACACCATGACATCAGGTATGCTAACATGTAGTAGAATGAGGCAAACGCAGCAGGGGCCACTGGTAACAATGCTGGTGCTGATCAAAATGGCGGTGCTGTGAGTCTTTTGAAATCTCCCACAGTGTTCCGTATGATGTTAATGATTGTAGGCGGATAATGCGAACGAAGGCAATGCTGGCAATGAAGACAATACTGGCAATGACAACGCTAACAACGACAATGCTGGCAACGACAATGCTGGTAATGACAATGCTGGCAATGACAATGCTGGCAACGACAATGCTGGCAATGACAACACTGGTAACGGCATGAACGACAATGCTGGTAACGACAACGGTGATGCCGGTAACGACAACGGTGATGCCGGTAACGACAACGGTGATGCCGGTAACGACAACACTGGTAACGGCATGAACGACAATGCTGGTAACGACAACGGTGATGCCGGTAACGACAACGGTGATGCCGGTAACGACAACACTGGTAACGGCATGAACGACAATGCTGGTAACGACAACGGTGACGACATGAACAACAATGCTGGTAACGACAATGCTGGTAACGACATGAACAACAATGCTGGTAACGACAATGCTGGCAACGACATGAACAACAATGCTGGTAACGACAATGCTGGTAACGACAACGGTGATGCCGGTAACGACAATGCTGGTAACGACAACGGTGATGCCGGTAACGACAATGCCGGTAACGATAACGCTGGCAACGGCATGAACAACAATGCTGGCAACGGTATGAACGGCAATGCTGGCAACGGTATGAACGGCAACAACTCCACAGCTGAAGCTGGCAACGGAAACGCAGGCATGGACAATGCTGACAACGCTGACAACGCAAACAACGATGGCCAAGATGGTGGGAACGCCAATGAGGACCAGAACGGCGGAAACGCCAATGAGGACCAGAACGGCGGAAACGCCAATGAGGACCAGAACGGCGGAAACGCCAATGAGGACCAGAACGGCGGAAACGCCAATGAGGACCAGAACGGCGGAAACGCTGACAATGAGAATGGCAACGCCATGGGCGGCGGAAACGCTAACAATGAGAATGACAATGCTGGTAACAATGCTGGTAACGAGGACGCGGGTAACGCCGGCAACGACAATGCTGGCAACCAGGAGTCGGGTAATGCAAACGAAGGAAACGCAAATGAAGGCAATGCAAATGAAGGCAATGCCGACAACGAGAACGCCAACGCTGGTAACCAGGAGTCGGGCAATGGAAACGAGGGCAATGTAAATGAAGGCAACGCCAACGCCATGACCAACGCACAAACCAAGGACAACTAATCGCACACACCTCAGCCATGGTCCATAGAGTAAAGTCGGCATTACAAGCAAGTCCTTTCCCCCCAAGACAGCATATTGCCGTGTGACTGGCATGAAGGGAGGGTGTGGGAGGCAGGGGATAGGGAGTGAATAGGGGGGGATACAATCGCTACAAAGACAAAGTGTTATAGGTTTTAGGGAGATTTAATAGAGGGGTTTGAGATTTGTGTTTGCGAATTTTGCTGTGTTGTGCTGTGTTGTGCTGTGTGTTGTTTTTTGCTTTGTTTCGCAGATGGGCGTGTGAGACGAAGGGCGGGTTATTCTTACCACAGGGTTTGATACTCGATTGTGTGAGGGGCTAGATGCAGTGCCGTTTCAGCGGGTGGAGGCGAAGATGCTGCGTCAAGAGTTACTGAAGTAGCAGAAGAGAAAAGTAGAGAAGACGGTGGATGTGACGGTACTCCTGTTCGCTATATGCGTCACGCTCTGTCGCAACCTCACCCTCGCTCGCTCCCTCGCTTCTCTCCGCCAGCTTTGAATTTGCGGGCGGCTCTTGCTGGTTTGGGAGTGCAGCTGTACTGTATTTGAGTTCTCTGGTTTGTGGATTTCAGTTCGCGGTGCAGAGTGTTGATTTGTGTTGGGATTTGAGGTGGGAATCGAGGGGTGGGTGGATGGTTGAATGGTTCATGTAGATTGATGTTAAGAAAATTCCAGGCACGATGCTAAAAATGCTAGAGGTATGCTACGATGTGATGCGAAATGCCATATCATGCCACGTCATGCCACGTCATGCCATACCATGTACTCTCATATATACAAACCCAACTCCTCTCCCTCTTCCTCCTCCTCTTCCCCCCCCCCCCCCTCCAGCCCAATAACCCACCCAACAACCCCCCTAAATCCCCTCAAAACTATCCAAATCGCGCGGATCCCGCGGACACTTCCAATCACGCTCAAACGCCGTCTGCGGCAAAATACCCGCCTCCCTCCCACGCCGATAACTCCACTGCGTCGCGCGCTCCGTCTCCCAAGTCCAATAGAACCAGCCCCAGCCGGCCTCGAAGGCGTCCATCTGGGCAATGGCGAACTGGTAGAGGAATTTCTTGTACTCGGGGTGGTAGTCGCGGGGGTCGGCGTTGGGGGTGTCGCAGGAGCATTGGGAGGATTTGAGGGGACATTGGGGGGAGAGGATGGATGTGCTTGCGTTGCCCGTGTCAAAGGTGCCTTCCCAGCGGGTGCCAGTGGCTACGTTGTTGATGAAGGTGGTGCAGTCCGAGTCTGCCTGGCTCCACTCGCCGCACATTGTGGGTCCGAAACCGGTGGTCCTGTCCATGCTGCGGCGCGACTGTTGGGTCCATGCCGAGCAGGCAAAGTTGAGTTTATCGCGGGGTTTGAGGCTGAGCTGGTCGATGTTGAAGACGACGTATTGGTGTACGTCGAGTAGGAGGTTGTCGATATTTTGTAGTTTGCCTTGCCAGTTGTCGAGGCCCATGAAGCCGTCGCCGAAGACGATGACGCCTTTGATGCCGTCTTTGCGGATCTGGGAGACTGCTTTTTCCGTCCATGAGACTACTACTTCGGTGTCGAGTTCAACGTTGCGCGGTTCGTTGACGAGGCCGTACATGGTGACGAGATTGGCGTAGCGGGGTTGGGCGAAGAAAACGGAGAGTTGGTGGTGGATGTCTAGTGTGCGCTGCCCGTTCTTCTCTCCATCTGTCCCGTTCAACCAGCGGATGGAGCCCTGGCGGCCGGAATGGTTCCACCCGTTTTGAGACCCGGGTGCGCCGTGGAGATCGAGGTTCACGCGCAGCCCGTTTTGGCGGCAGTACTCGATGCCGCGGAGGAGATAGCGCCAGGAGACTTGGGGTAGATAGGGATCGTCGTCGTAGGTTTGCACCATCCAGTAGCCAAAGGGGAAGCGGACGTGGTCCATGCCTGCGTCTCTTATCTCCTTGAATGTATTTTTGGTGATGAAGGTGCTGTAGTGCTGTTCCAATGTACTCCTCGCTTTTGCCGGCCCGAGTTTCGTCATCAATGTCCACTCGTCGACCACGCCGTCGCGGGAGCCAAAGTTTTCAAAGTACGAGGGCGTGATGAATGGTTCAATGTTTAGCCAGCCTCCTACGTTGACGCCGCGGATGGGCATCTTGCCGTATTCAAAAGGGTCGCTGAGCTTAGGGACAGACGGATTGGCTTGGACTTCGTCGTCCCACGTCATGTTCAGTCCAATGATGGGAAGCCCGCCGACAAGCTCGTTGGTATATGTGATGTTGAAGTCTTCCGTGTCGAACCAGGACCAGGGATCGAGAATGCCACCACGATCTGCCTCAGGGACGCTGTTGCGGTCGTGCCCGTCTAGATTGGAGGTTTTGGGTTCGTTGACACTCGCAGGGGCGGAGTTGGAGCCGCCGTTGTTGTCGTTGCTCGATTTGTTGGAGAGCATGACTGCGACGGGTATGATGATGGCTAGGATGATCAAAACAGACAGGACGCCAATGATGATCTTCTTCCACTTCTTCCTCTTTGCCAACTCTTCTGCCGAGTAGACGGTCGGTGGCCCACCGCTTCCACCTCGTTTCTCCATCATATACTGATATTCGTCGCCGTCGATGGCGCCTTCTTCTGCCAAAGGGCCGCTGATGACGCGTCGTCTCTTCATCTCCGTTCGACGCTGTTTCTCCTGCCGTCTCCTTTCTTTCTTGGCCTCGGCTTCACTAGGCGTATACTCTGCTTCTCTTCTTTGTCTCCTCTCCTCCCTCTCATCATCCGCGTGTGCACTCCTTCTCTTACCCTCTCCACCACTAAGAGCCGCAGCCGCAGCCGCAGCCGTCCTCCTCTCCTCTTTCCTCTTCCTCGTCTTCTCCTCGTCCAGCCTCTCCATCTCCCTCTCCTTCGCCCTCCGATTAGCCTCCCTCTCCCCAATCCTCAACTCCTCCCTCTTTCTCTCCCTCTCCTCCTTGACCCTCCTCTTCTCCAACTCCTTCTCCTTGCGCCTCACCTCCTTCAGATACTCGTCATCGTAATCATAGGTGCCCCACCCTCCCGCTTTCTTCGCATTTGACTTGTCCAGCTTCGCCAGGGCATCCAGACTGAGCGGTGCGCTGCTCCGACTCCTACTACCCGATTTACCGGTCGCGCTATTGCGCCGGCTACTCTGGCGATTCCGCCGCGGTGGCGCAGGTAGCTCTTCCTCGCCCGTCTCATTCGCATCATGACGGCGCGCATATTCTCTCCTAGACGGTCGAGACGGCGACCTCTGTTTCGCTCGCGCCTGCCTCTCAGGCTTGGGCAATAACTCGCCCGACGAATCAGTAGGCCGGTGTCCGTTCCTGCGGCGCCCGTCGTGGTTGTGCACCGTGTTCGTGTCTATATTTGTGTTTATCATCGGCTCAGCCCGCGACTCCCTTTTGCGCCTGCGCTCGGGATCCAGGCTCTGCCGTCGTCGCTCGGGCTCTGCGCTGCCGCCATGCGATTCCCGTCTTCGTCTTCTGGGCTCGTCGCCGTGTGGACGGCGGCGAGAGGGGTCGCGCTCACGCTCGCGGTCGCTGAGGTCGGGCATGTGCGCTGCGTGTGGGGGGATCGGTGTGATTGCGGGCTGGAGGGTGGAATGTGGGGGTTGGAATGCAGCGAACGTGGGTAGGTGGGTGAGTGAGTGAATGGAGAGGTGATTGCGTGCGACAAAAGCGAACGAACGTGTAGGCCGAAATGTGCGTAATCAGTCTGCGTACTCAACCTGTCTCCTCAGGCGTGCGCGTGTCCTCAAGACGCGACAAGTACCAAGCGTCAAAGCCAGCTTCACAATGTCCAGCCCAGTTGGTGAGCGGTGAGACTAGCAGACATCAACTGCGCCAACCTCGGAGCCTTTACCGGTACCGGCACACGAACGTCACTGCACCAACACAAATAACTCACCACCGCACCCTTGACTGCCACCACCACCAAGACGCCAAATGATTGATTTTGCCCAAAAGAAACCACGGCCAGCTGCCGCAACTCCCTGTTCATACACTCCTTCACACGCGCAACGCATCCTCCGGCCCCACGTAACAGACCTGCTGAAGACGCACATGTCCAGCCGTCGGGGTTGCTGGGGAAACGGTCTTGTTCGGTGTGGCCGAGGGGCTGGGCGGCCGGGCTTGGAACGGGATGGGATCAGATGAGGATATTGTACATGGGGACTTGGATGAGCGTTGAACCCTCCATCTCCTTCGATCTCATGTGGGTAATCTTGCAAGTCGGAGCGACAAAGGACGGGCGATACATACAAACCGACGTTACTATGCCAAGGTCGATCGATCGATGCGATGATTCCGTCACCTCACTGGAGCTACCTGGTTGGGATATCCACGATACCTAAGCTGGCCTGTTCCTCTCAACCTCGACATGGCCACAAGCGACTCACAATCAAGCGATCGCCATCATACAATCCTGTCCAGCAGTCTTTCGAGTTGGAAAAGCTTCACAAAGCGAATAGTGCCAATGTTCGCACCCCCTCGCTCTGCTCTTCGCTCCTCACAGCCAGTCCAACACACGAATTCAGCATACACTGTCTACACAATACCACCGTCCATTTGTATTCTTTCCAACCCTATCAGACGACGCTCAAATGGGATTCCCGCACTGTTGCACGTTTTCTGCACTACGTGAAAAGGGCAAGGTGGGAATTGCATCGCGCAAGAGTCTACTCATCTCGCAACCAAAATACAAGCGCAAACAATCGTCCCCTACGCTTACCCGCGACCTCAGATTCCAATTCTCACAGTGCTATGCATATCTGCTCATGTTTCTCCATATCCTCCAAGTATGAAAATGGTCAGACCATCAAGTGTTTTATAATGTGTTACATGCCGAGATGAGATTTCTTCTCCAGTGGTATCATAGCCAAGTAAACAGCAAGCGAAAAACCTGCAAGTAAGTAAAACGCGCAGCAGGCCAGCAACACACAGCTGCAAACTGCCTACCATCTGCACCTGCATATCCAAACTACACGCAAACGCCCCTAGAATGATTACAACGCGATGTGTCCATCGCCAGAGCCTCTGCCGAAGAGGCCAAGATTCGCATATATACGTGTCCTGTAATAGCCTTCGAGGTCGTATCCAGGCTGGTCCATGTATGTAGCGACAGTTTATACTTTGCATGTGTGCGTTGCTGCACGCAGTCTAGCAAGGCGATATCATGTGTATATGCAGAGTGTTGCCCAGGTCCCGGCTCCCGTGATATTTGTGTATAGTTGGAAGTCAGCTGGTTGTATGCTGCGGGCTTCTTCAAACGGGTATGTGCAGAGAAAGGAAAAGTGGGGGACTGGAGGCCTGGGGTGGGCAGTGGGTGTGCTGGTCTTGGCACTGAGAGCAGTAGAAATATTCGTCGAAATTGCTCACGAGGGAGTCGTGTTGGAGGAGCCGGTTGCGTCTGTTGTGGCTGGCTGTTTGCCCTTTTCCTCAGGGCTCGTCGTTGGTGACGTCTTCTTCTCATCGTCGCTGTAGAGACCGTGTTCGTAGATGTAGTCGACCACCTTGTCGGGGATGTAGTAGCGAATGCTCTTGCCTCTCTTGCGGAATAGACGGATTTTGGTCGATGATACGTCGTTCTGGATCAGTTGGGGAATCACATGGATGTTCTCTCTGTATTGCTGGAGGCTCACGAGCGCATCATCTGTCGCAAGTTAGTTTTTGCACATTTGTTTTACAGACGCCGAACATACCAATGTCAGTACCGCTGCGCTCGAGGATAAAGGCGCCGTAGTAGCCCAAGATGCGGCTCAGATCCTCCGGGGCCCATAGGCCGGGTGTGCTCATGGTCTGAATCAAATCCGCGCCTGCCAGCAGCGCAACGTGGATATGTCGCTTCTCGCCGCCCTCGGGCGCAATCCCGCCCATGACCTCGTTCAGCTCGTACTCAAAGTGGTCCAGGACCTTGACAGTCGGCAGGTATTCCTTGTGCAGGGGCTCCCACGGGTCAACGCCAATCCACTTGGAGCTGTCTTCCACAGCGATTCTCGACATGTTGATGCGGTGCTGTGCCGAGGCCAGTCCGGCCTTTTTGTACGCATCGCCGACGGGACTGAAGAAGCCGCCGATGACCTCGTAGTTGGTCTCAAACTCGCAGTAGTCGGCCGCCTCTTCAAACATGCGCAGGTGGAGGTTGGTGGGGGGTGAGAAGGATCCACAGGAAATGAGGACGAGCGGCTGTTTGTTGGGGTTGGAAAGCGTCTTCTTTAGCCGCTGGCTGGGGAATTTGTAATCCTCGAGCGTCATGGTGCTGAGGTCATCGAGGCCGACGTTGAACGAGATGTCGCGATTCGAACTCGAATCCGTCGTCGAGGACATGATGGCGGATGTATGTGGTGGGGGGGTCAAGGGGGCGCAGTGGCTGGAGAGTGAAGGACGGAGGGGTAGTCGGCTGCAGGGTGGCTGTTTTTGGATCGGCGCGGGGCCGGTTGCGATGAAAGTGAAGGATGGGATATTGATTAATGGCTGTGGAGGGCAGAGAAAGGAGGGAAGAGGAAGAGGAAGAGGGATTTGCAAGACGAAAGAAGGCTGACGAGAGACCGGTGTCTTTCGGGTAAAGGGAGACCAAGGCTAGAGTAAGCTGGACTGACGATAGGGGTGCCTGGAGCGAAGTGGTGGGAGAGGGGGGGAGGGGAGAAGGGCTTGATTAGTTATGACGCGGGGCAAGCCTGAGGCGTTGGCCGAATCAGGACGGCGCCAGGGCGAAGAGACGGCGTGTAGGTGGACGACAAAAGACTCTGTGAAATCAGCAAGTTCGCATCCGAGTATTCGCCTGCAACGGCCAGACGATGAATTTTTCTCTGCATGCGCTTTTGGCGAAGCGGGCCATGGGTAGAGTATGTAAGTACACATGCATAGGTAGTACCGGGTACCCATCCCCTAACGCCCGTGGTTGCGAGGCTCGGCCCTGGACTCCGACTCCGACCCCACATCAATGTACACTGGTACCGTGTTCTCAGGTCCTCTACCCGGCCGTGGGTGTGGGAAGAGAGAGAGAGAGAGAGAGAGAGAGAGAGAGAGAGAGAGAGGCTTCGCTTTGTACTATAGGTGTCTGCAGTCCGTCAGTCACCATCCGAGCGGCCATTTACGGGATGGAGGACGGCAAGGTCCGATGTGAAGGTAGGTAGTCTGTCTGTCTCGACACATACAAATGCCTATAAGATGCGCAAAAACGCATGATGTTGGGTTTAGCCGAGGCGACCAAACGGTCCCGTCGCTGCAAAGTTTGTGTTGGCCAACTTGTTTTTTGGTTACAGCGTACAGATGATAGTTGGTCAGGCGAAGACTTCCTGTTACGACAATAAGACGGATATATAGGGCATGGTGCGTTCATGGCCTTGATTCACGTCACCGACCGGGAGCAGAGGGACGGTGAACGTGGATGATGTTTGCCTCTAGGTATGTGGCCGCGTACGGTAGTATCTCTCTGCGTGCTGTCGTGTTGGTGATGGTAGTACAACACCAGCATATAAACCTAGACTATATTTGAAATGGTAAACTTCACAGTCCTCTCAAACGTGTATTCATAGATCCCGGCACCGTGGACTAGGACATGCAATCCCTTGCTTACGAGTAGTTCTTCCGTCTGGCCTGCAGCCCTGTCGATAGAGGTTCCATGCAGGATGAGAATCTCGCTGACTTGGGAGCAGGATCGGGCATGAGGTCTGCATGAAGAGTTTCTATACCTACTGTGCATCCTCCTATGAGCTGTTCGTCTTGTGCATGTAGAATGTTAGCAGCAGTCCATCCAGCCATCACTTGTCAAGTTGTGAGTAATCAATGGGGCATTACCGGTGGTACAGGCCGTCAAGGTGTTCACGAAGCAAAAGTCTACATGGAACACAATGCATCGGCCTGCCCCAACACAAGCCAGAAGAAACACGGAACAAACAAGCCCAGTCTGCAGCAACAGCGGGCCCCTTTGACATCTTGGGGACAGGCGCGTATGCAATTCACGTCGCAATGGGAGGCCAGAGCTATTGTTTCGGAGACGGTTGCATCGTGCTTGCCTATCGATAACGGAGCCTAGCTTTGGTCACGTAATTGGCTCGTCGTCGCTCTCGGCCATTGATGCAATCCATCTCCAACACTTTGACTCTTCTCCCCTCCCCCCCTCCCCCCATGCATTGATTTCTAGCCATATTGCAACTCCATCCCTTTACATGCCCCTCCATCATCTGCACTCAGCAAACAGCACGCTCCTTTTCCTGCTCCCAAAGCTCCAGAATTCACCCTCACCCACCTGCCCCGACTGCAGGACACCGCGGCGTTTGCAGACCACACCCCCCCCCGCAAGGCACTCGCTTGAGCACACGCCCATGGCGCGGCCTTGATGGCATCAGGTCTTCGTGAAAGTCGTCCCGAACACCAGCGCGACAGGTACGATAGAAAATCTTCTCTGCTCGTCTCTTAGTCAACTGCAGCTCCCACGTCCCCCCCGCTGCCACGCTGTTGCCCCAACACTCCACCACGCCTGCTCCAACCGCCTCTCTGTATCTCTCTTTCAATCTCTCTCTCTCTCTCTCTCTCTCTCTTATCACGCTTTCTCTCTCTTTTGCTTTCTCCACACTCCTGCTTTGGCTGCTTGATAGGCACAGCGCTGCGACACCCACCGGGGACACAGGCTGAGCGATCCATCGAATCTTGCAACCGTCGTCTCCTCACAGTCAGATTCTCATGTCGTCCAGAGTCACTCGCTCGTCTGCGAGGCGATCGACAGGCGCCGCCGCCAACAACGAAAACCCACTTGCACAACCACCACCGCCGCCCTCAGCTCCGCCCACTTCCTCGCGCAAGCGGAAAGCTGCCGCACGCGACTCCAGCCCTGAGCAGCCCGAGAACACAGAGCCTAGGTCTGCCCGCGCCTCTCGAGCTAAGCGCCCCAAGGCCGAACCCCAGGACGCGCCAGCCCCGGCTATAGGTCGCTCTAAGAAGGCCAAAGGCAAAGCAGCCATGTCATCGGCTGGGTCTGTTCCATCTGCTCTCTTGGGACTTCACCTGCTAACTAGAACCAGACCCCCCTCAGACCCCGTAGACGAGAAGGCGGCGCCCTCGTCATCGAAACGCAGTAAAGGCGGTCGTAAGAGCGGTGGCCAGTCCGACAGCTCCCGCCGACAGCCAAAGTCGCCCCTCCCAGAGAACGACACCAACCCTTTCCTGTCCTCCACATCACGCCGGAGCTCGCGCAAGTCGAACAAGGCAGCCGATGAAGACACGGGCATGGCAGATGCGTTTGGAGACAAGCCTGAAGGCGAGGCACGACAGTCTAGCGATGACCAGACCAGCGAAGAGGAGGATGAGGATGGACACGGCGGGCAATATGACGAAGAGGACGAAGAAGAAGGAGAAGAAGAAGAAGAGGAGGAGGAGGAGGACGTCTTCACAAATGGCTTCCTTGGTCGCAACCCAGTCGGTCTGTCAGCACTCCGCCAACTCACAGGCATGATGAATTCGGGCACTACACAACGGCTACGAGGCATTCTCGAGCAGTTGCGATCGGACGACGAGTCAATACAAATGATTGCCTTGCAAGAGCTCTCTGAAGTTCTCCTCATCTCGACCGAAGACAATTTGGCAGGCCACTTTTCGCCCGATGCCTACGTCAAGGAACTGGTCAAGCTTATGCAACCGCCCGCCCCAAGCGACGACCCTTTCACCATCACCCCCGAGCCAAACCCCGAAACCATGCTCTTAGCCTGTCGCTGCCTAGCCAATTTGATGGAAGCCCTGCCCCAAGCCACGGCCAATGTGGTGTACGGAAACGCTGTGCCAGTGCTTTGCGCAAACCTGCTCAATATCCAATTCATCGACTTAGCAGAGCAGTGTTTGAGCACCTTGGAGAAGATCTCAGTAGAATTCCCGTCTGTGATTGTGCGAGAAGGCGGTCTTTCGGCATGTCTAAATTACCTCGACTTTTTTGCAACGAGTACACAGCGCACGGCGGTCACAACAGCCGCGAATTGTTGCCGGAATATCCCAGACGATTCCTTCTCGGTCGTGCGCGATGCAATGGGCACACTTGAAGGCATTCTGAACAACAATGATCAAAAAGTTCTGGAGCAGGGTTGCATTTGTGTGTCGCGTATTGTGCAGAGCTTCAAACACCAAGGAGACAAGCTGGAACAGCTGGTCAGCCCTGGGTTGCTCCAGGCGATCCTGCGACTGCTACTTCCTGGTAGCACAAATCTGATTGGATCCAACATTCACACCATGTTCCTTCAAGTCCTCGCATACACTGCCAAAGCCAGCCCACGCTTATCGGCTGAGCTGTTGAAGATGAACGTGGTCGATACCCTGTATCAGATTCTCACTGGTGTCTCGCCTCCTAGCGGGACAGATGATGTTGCCGGGAAGATTGACTCGGTAGTCATCATGCAAGCTCTGATCCATCGTCCCAAAGATCAGGTCTTCGAGACCCTCAACGTGATTTGCGAGCTTCTACCCGATGTACCTCAAGAAGGCTTGATGTATCTCGATGATCTCGTGGACGCTGGAAATCCAGGCGATGATTCATCACCTCTCTCAGCACAGAGCAAGCCATCTGCCAACCAGAGGCGCTTGGAGATGCTCGAAGGCTGCAAGCCCGAAGTTAAGCGCTTCGCTCTTATCCTGTTCCCCACTCTTACAGATGCGTACTCAAGCACCGTCAACCTTAGCGTCCGGCAAAAGGTGCTCACTGCGCATCTGAAGATGCTTTCCAATCTTGATACAGACATCCTGGAGGAAGCTTTGCGACCTGTCCCATATGCGTCCCACCTAGCCTCCATCTTCACACAGCAAGATCACCCGACCTTGGTGACGTACGCATTACAAGCAGCCGAGCTGCTACTCAAGAGACTAGATTCAATTTACCGATACCAGTTTTACCGTGAGGGCGTCATCTCTGAAATCTCACAGTTGGCGAACCGCCCCTGCAAAACTCTGGATGCTCGACCAAAGGATTCCAAAGCAGCGCTAGAAGTGGAGGCCTCTACAGATTCTGGCTCGAGTACCACCTCTTCAGCAAATGCTGAACTTGAACACGATATGGCCGTCCCTGAAGATGTAAACATGCACTCTGACGATGAAGACGGCGAGGATGACCACGAAGATGATCTTCACGAGGCTCATGAGGAGCATGAGGAAGATGATGATTCTGATTCTTCGTCGTCGTCGGATCATCAACTTCCCGCCCAGGTCCCGCATGTCGAGGACATTATCACTCTACGGGCAAAGAAGTTCATCGAAACCCATGAAAAGACCAGCGATAAGCTAGTGCGAGACAAAGCCTCTGCCGTGTTGCAAGATCTCAAGACACTCGCGAGCGACATTCGGTCATGCGTTCTTGATGGAGGTGCTGGCAATTGCAGGGAGCTTTTTACACGTCTAGCATCCTACTTCGAGGGTGATGCATTGGAGAGCATTACGAGCTATGAATTGAAGTCTTCTAAGATTGTGGATGTGCTTCTTGAGATTTTCACAACGACCTCCGCAAAGGGCATCGATCCTCGGTCTGTCTTTCTAGAAACCTTCATGGGCTGTAGCAGCAAAACCAGTACCACAAGTGCTACCCCATCTACACCTCTAGGTGTCTTGGTACACACTCTTCAGGACCTGCTCAGCCGTTCAGAACATTTTGATGTCATTACAGTTCATCAACATGCCTACGACAGCCGTGGTAGTGCGACGTCCATGCTGGCGAAGCAGCTCAGGTTGAGGCTCGAGGCAGATGACGATTCTGGGATACCCAAGGCTTATAGACAAATCATGGTTTCTATACATGCGATCGCCACTTTCAAAGCTTTGGATGATTATCTGCGTCCTCGCATCAGCATTGCAGAACAACGGCCGCGTGGCAACAAGGTGCGGGAGTCATTTGCACATTATGCTCAAGCTATGGCGGAAGGACGCGCCCCGCCTCCGCCGCACACTCCGTCTGAGTCGCGGACATCGAAGAAGGCTTCTTCAAAGTCCAAAACACCGCCCACGGATCCCCCTCAACCTGGGCCCAGCTCAGCTACACGAGAGAAGACACGTCGCTCCAGCAGACGACAGCAGGCCCAGCTGCCCCCACCCCCACCCCCTCCCGCTGTGCCGCGATCCAATAGCAGCCACGATCCAGTGGAGTGCGCCGATGAGGAACGTCTGAGTGACCAGGATTCTATGGATGAAGAGAGCGCACTGAATGCTATTGTCGACGACCTTGAAGATGACCTTGATGACGATCTGCCTGACCCATCTGCGGTCAGTGTAGAGGTTGCGTCGACGGGCCAAGCCACAGCGCGTGAAGAAGACGGTACACGAGTAGCCACTCCTGTACACAATGCTTTGTCGGCAAAGACACCCTCAGAAACTCGCACACCAACTTCGCGCCTGTCTGCATTGCTGCAGAACTCGGCTATGAGGCAGAGTCTGGGTAGTGCTGCGAGCGCCCTCTCGTATGCTGCAGCAGTCCAATCAATTCCTCAAGACTGGCATATCGAATTCAGCGTCAATGATCAGCCACTCTCTAACGAGACGACCATCTACCGCGCCGTACACTTCAGTCAGGCACAAGGCGGAGAAGTATCAAATCGTACTGTATGGGGTGCCACTCATACCATCAAGTTCAAGCGTGTTCCTGGCCCGCCACCAGCTGAATCTAGCTCTCTGACTCCTCCGCCGGACGCCAAGGCGGATACTCTGGGCATGCCAGCATCCTTGAATCAACATCCAGTTACATCTGGTATCCTTCGGCTGCTGAGCATATTGCACAGCTTGAATGCGAACTTCGACGATATTTTGTTGGACAAGAAGGACCAGATGAAGCTGAATGCTGAGCCGCTCTCACAGTTTGTCAACACCAAGCTCACAGCCAAGCTCAACCGCCAACTGGAAGAGCCTCTCATTGTGGCTAGCAACTGTTTACCAAGCTGGAGTGAGGATCTGGCTCGCTTCTATCCATTTCTATTTCCATTCGAGACGCGTCATCTCTTCCTGCAGTCGACCTCTTTTGGCTACTCTCGTTCCATGACACGCTGGCAGAATGCACAGCCTACCAGCGACTCTAGGCATGATAGGCATCGTGATGAGCGTCCCTTCCTGGGTAGACTACAACGTCAGAAAGTTCGAATCTCCCGGGCTCGGATACTGGAGTCTGCGATGAAGGTCATGCAACTGTACGGCCACTCTGCTAGCGTCTTGGAGGTCGAATATTTTGAGGAGGTTGGTACTGGGCTGGGACCGACGCTTGAATTCTACTCGACTGTGTCCAAGGAGTTCTCCAAGAAGAAGCTCAAACTTTGGCGCGAAAACGAGTCGAGCAGTACGGATGAGTATGCGTTTGGCAAACGTGGGCTGTATCCAGCACCTATGAGTGCGGAGGAGGCCAATGGCGAGAATGGTGAGAAGCGTCTTGAGTTGTTCAAGGTGCTTGGAAAGTTCGTAGCTCGATCCATGCTGGACTCTCGTATCATCGATGTGTCCTTCAACCCGACATTCTTCCGCATCGGCGATGGCAGCAACACCGCAGTTTTACCATCGCTTGGCGCAATCAAGACTGTCGACAATGACCTCGCCAACTCGCTCGTTCTGCTCAAGCAGTTTGCCGACGCCAAGAATAGTGTCATGGAGGACAACACCATGTCAGCTGCGCAGAAGGATAAGGCCCTGCAGAGCATTGTGATTCAAGACTGTCGTGTAGAGGACCTTGCCTTGGATTTCACCCTTCCTGGCTATAGCTCCATTGAACTCATCCCCAATGGTTCGGATACGGCGGTCACCATCCACAATGTCGACATGTATGTTGACAAGGTGATCGACTTCACACTTGGCTCTGGTGTCCAGCGCCAGGCTGATGCATTCCGCGCCGGGTTCACAGAGGTGTTCCCTTATTCTGCGCTGAAGGCCTTCACTCCAGACGAGCTCGTCATGCTTTTCGGTAGAACCGATGAAGACTGGTCACTTGAGAGTAAGTTTGGAGCTATCTTGTTTTGAAGACTACCTGCTAATTCTCCAGCTCTCATGGACTCGATAAAGGCCGACCACGGCTACAACCTCGACAGCAAGAGCGTCCGCAACCTTCTTCAGACGATGAGCGAGTTTGACGCACAAGAGCGACGCGATTTTTTGCAATTCATCACTGGCAGCCCCAAGCTTCCCATTGGTGGTCAGTACCACTTCCATACACTTCATGGCCGGCTTTATGTTGACAATTTTGATAGGCTTCAAGGCGCTCACACCAATGTTCACCGTCGTATGCAAACCCAGCGAGCCGCCTTATACATCAGACGACTACCTCCCCTCCGTCATGACATGTGTCAATTACCTCAAGATGCCCGACTACAGCACTGTGGAAATTTTAAGACAAAAGCTTAGTGTGGCTATCCGCGAGGGTCAGGGCGCATTCCATCTCTCATAAATCAACCACGAACATTCGTCGAGAGCCCTAGCATGGCCAAGGGGATGGCAAGCCGTAGCAGTTTGGCAAAGCCATCTCTATCCCTGTGGCTTTGATTCTGTTCAATCGTTATATTTATACGCACTCTCATCAAGTTATCGAAGGAATGGGAGAGTTAGTATGCATTGCAAGGGGCGCGGTAAACTTTTTTTTCCAAGAGGGGCGTTTACAAGTTGGTTGCAAGCATTTACCTCCCCCCACCATAGGCCTATATGAATATTTTTAGAAATCGATTCGCTTTACGGCAAAATTACTGTAGACGATGGCTTGCTGTGAAGGTAGTGGTAGGTGTAACATGATTGAGCTGTAGATCACTTCTAAAGGATGACTTCCATTTGATCATGAGTCATCACAGACGGTATTAAGCCGCGACATCGTACTTATTTGGCACCTATCTCGGGAATATGCTGAAATGGAGAGGGGAGTCCGCGAACTTGAGAGATGTGGTTCAAGTAGAACAAAGGCACATGTGAGTGTTGCCAGTCCAGTTGTTTATTCTTTAGCCTGATGAATTCTACCATGTGATTGAATACCACCAAAGCTTTCCCAATGACCGCAAAAACTACAAACCTCTCCAACTGCTGAAAATAGGTAAACGTCTACTCCTCAAAGATGTGTTCGAGTAACAATGCTAACCCGTCGCGTGCCCTCATATGTCGTTTACAATGCCATTGACACATCTTGCTCAATACCCAACTACGTCGTTACTCTTGTCTGACTTCCAACAACGAAAATGTCTCTTGCGCAACAAAGCAAAGCCCCGGGCAAACGCCTTTCCGCACCGTGATCTGAGGGCGTCAGCCACGCATCTCAAACCTTTGTTTCGCAAAGGGCTTTGTCGCGTGTAGCGTGTCTTGTTGAAACATCTCGGTCTGCCCTGCCTGCTTTACCTACCAGTCCTTTATACTCACCTGTCAGTTACGCATCCTCGCAAACTGAACGATTTCTTCTCTCGATACATTTGCGAGGTTTTTTGTGGAAGTTGCTGTGGATATGGAATACCAAATGCTGGGAAGTAAGATGTCGACACCCTCACCACCACCACCACCACCACCACCACCACCTCTGCCAGCCCTCCCACCAACGCCTTCCTTCCTGCTCCCATCCTTTCCTTTCACACCATCCACTCCCCTCCCCAACCATACCCCCGCAACCCCCTCCCCCCTCCCCGTAGACTTTCTCGAAATCCTCGAGAACTGGTGCATCCCCAACCTCGACACCTCCGCCATCCTGCCCGCCAGCCTCATCGGCGCCGCGCACCAGAAACAGGGTACTACATGCTCAAACACAGTCACACCTGGTCCCGCACCAGTGTCACCAGTGGCACCAACGACACCAACACCAACAAAGAAACCAACATACCCCTGGACCGACCCCCTCCGCAACGCAATCCTCACCCTCTCCAAACTCACAGTCAACCAACGCGCCCGCGCCCACAGCCTGCTGTGCACATACTTTGCCGCGCGCATCCGCGAGGCTAGTTACAAGGCGAACGGCACGGGCATCTATGCGCAGCTCGAGGTTTGCGATGTGGACAAGGCGATTGAGAGCGTGAGAAGGATGAGGCGCGGGCGGGAGATGGAGATGGAGAGAAAGCGCGAGAAGGAAGAAGATGTGGGGGAGAAGAGAAAGTATTCAATCGGCGACGAAGGATGGTTGCAGGCGCGATTTTATTCGCGCCAACTGGGAAGCGTGATGGAAGGTGACGGGGACGAGGAAGGTGAGAAAGAAGAGGAAGAAGAGGAAGAAGGAAAAGGAAAAGGTAGAGAGTCAAGACAGTCTGGAAATAATGTCCAAAGCCCCCCACTATCCAACGGCTTTCACCACCAACGCAAGAAACTTCAAACTTCACACAGTCATAACAGCACCACCCCCGATCCCGCCCATGTCCAGGGACAAACTGACATCGATTCTCTCCACCCCCTGCTCACACCGCAAACCACAAAACGCCTCATCCATCTCCCGCCAATTCAAACCACAGACATCAATACGCCCACGAAGCCTGTGGTGCGACTTGACAGTACCGGGGTGCGGGCGGGTAGGGGCGGTGATTTGGGTTTGGGTTTGAATATGGATATGGATATGGATATGGATATGGGCGTTGGTATGGATGTGGACAGGACTACAGAAGCAGATGCATACCCAGCCTCAAAAGACCCAACCCTGCCATCAAACAAAGCCACACCCTCCCACCACCAGCACCCCGCTCCCCCGCACCAACACGCTCAATCTCAAATGCAACGGCGCAGTTATTCACATACTGGTGGCGGCATGGGTATCCCGGTTTTGCTTCCGGGGTTTCAGTCGCGGACACGGAGGCAGGTGCAGACTTATGATACGCCGTCTGCTCATGTTTATGATGACTTGCCGGCACATGCGTATAATACTCCGCTGGCATATGCGTATAATGCGCCGCCTGCTCATGCGTATAACACGCAGCCGGTACCAACGGCCGCCCAGCGCACAAGGCACGAGTTCAATGTGCGGCGGCGCGAGTTGCAGGAGGCGGGGCGTGTGTATGAGGATGCGAGGTTGAGGTTCTTGGAGGCGGTGAGGCGGATGGAGGGGGGTGGGGGGTGGGGGGTTTGATAAGGGGGTTGGAAAGGAATTGTGGTGTGCGGTGTGAGGAGGGTGGTGATGGATGTGTTGGCTTTAGATTTGGAAGCGGGCCTGCTTGTGGCAACTCCTGCTACGGGATTATGGCAGTGTTTAAGGTTAGGGGTTTTTTCTTTGCTTGGATATACCACTATTTGCCTTTTTCTGATGGATGATATTTTTTTTCTTCTCTCTTGTGTACGGCGACCACTACTATACCATCAATCAATCAATCAGACTCGGATCAGAACTTCTCACTCAACCACTTCTCCAGAACCCGGTTGACTTCCTCGGGCTTCTCCAACTGCACCCAATGCCCCGACTCAATCGTCTCATAGGTCAAATCCTTGGTACACTCCTTTTGCGGCTCCGCCATCTTCGGCGTCGTGCTGGGACTGCAAACGCCGTCGTACTTTGGATCGACAAAGAGGACGGGGAATTCCAGGACACCAGCGTTCTTCTCGCTCTTTGCGTACTCGGCGTTGACGTCGTGGTTGAGGTAGTAAGAGATTGCGGGGCGGAGACCGTGCTTCTTGTGGGATTTGACGAGGCTGGCGAGATGGTGCTCGTCGATGATGGTGGCCGCGATTGGGATCTCCGGTAGCATTTCTGGGTGGCCGCCAAACCAGCCGCCGTCGCGTTGGACGGTGGCGGTGAAGGAGCGTTTGCCCCAGTTGTTGGGGTCGGAGCGGGTGTAGAGAATCGGTGTGATGCGGTCAACGTGTGCGTCGAAACTGGCAATGCTTTCTTCGGCGTGGAGCTCGTAGTACCGCATGTAGTCCCATTGCCCCCATTCGTACTCGTCTTCTGGGTAGAGGGTCCGGTTGACGAGGCTCTTGACAAAGGGGAGTCCGAGTTCTATGGTTCGGTAGGGAACCGCGAGGTTGACCATACCGAGGAAGAGGTCTGGATGGTGGGCGGCTAGGGCGTTGGTGACGCCGCAGCCCCAGTCGTGGGCCACCCAGACGGCTTTCTGGATGCCCAGGTGCGAGGCGAGTTCGACCATTTCGCCGACGAGGACTTCAAGCGAATAACTGCGTTTGTTGGCAGGAGCTGTGGAGTCGGCGTAGCCGCGCATGTCTGGGGCGATGACGCGGTATTTTCCTAGGGAAGCAAAGTGGTTGAGCTGGTGGTGCCAGGACTCTGCAATGTCGGGCCAGCCGTGGATGAAGATCAAGGGGGTGCCATTGGGAGAGCCACCTTCGTAGTAGTTTGTGATTTCGCCGTTTTTGTGGGTGCACTTGCTGGCTCTGAAGTTCTCCATGTTCACAATGGTTTGGGAGAAGGCGGGTGGTGGAAGTTGTGGATGGTTGATAGCGGAGGTTGTGTGCTTGGACGCAAAGTTTGTATACAGCCTTGCAAAAGTGGGATGCTGTGTTTTAAACCGTGAATCGAGTGGATGCCGTCGGACATGGCATACCTCGGCTGATGATGCCTACCTAGCTGCCAGTGGTGAGTAACCATCGAAATCCGCTTTGGCAGCAGGCAGCATTGATGACATCCGCACCAATCCGCATGGACGGCTGACGAGAAGATGCGATTGATGAGGGGAGATAAGACGCATGAGACGACCAAGCCATGGCTGACAGTGGCTGTGTGTGTGCTGACGTCAGCAGATTTGCTTGGCCCCTTGGCAGACAAAAGAAGGGAAGAAGACTCGGCAGAGTGGGGCTTCAAACAGGTAGACAGACCATCTTACATCCAACCGCTTACACCGATACATTATCACCACCACCAAGGTCGGTCACGAAAGCAATCTGCCATGCGCCAATCGTGAGAGCCATGGATATTTGATGGTGCATGGCAGGTAGCACAATGTCGCTCGTTCCTAGGTTGGCCACCCTTTGCGAAGCAACATGGTTCCCAATCTACCATATCCGGCCCCTCTTCCACCCTATAGCAAGGCAGCTTGGAGGTGCATCATGCTGAAAAAAAAGGTCCACAGGCGAGAAGAGCCGTCTGCTGAGTCGTTGCAGCCGGAGATAGGAGAACCGAGATCTCTGCCTGGCCGATCGAAACAGCCGATGTGTCGTCAAGCTGGAACGTTCGGATGTCTACAGGTACCCGAACAGTTGACGAATCCTTGATGCCAGAGCATACATTTCAGAATGCGCTATCTATTTGCATTACTAGCCTATCAGATTCCGACTTCGAACCCCAAGCCAGTCCAGGGAGAAAGATATACACACACAGCATTATATGGTACTGGCCATAGTGGCGCAAGTGTGCCGCGAGCATCACACTGCAACCCGACAAGGATCGAAACAGAACAAGAAGGACTCTTGAATAGATTGCATCCATCTTATTGCATTGTATGGCGCATATCGCAATCAGTCTTACATGCATACCTGTTCGCCTACATGCGGCGCAGCACCACAGCTACTTGGTACTCATACCAATCACGGTGCATTCACTACAGCCTTGAGGAGATGAAAGTCCCATAAAGTGTACTCTTGCTGAGGCGGTTGACCGGTCATTTGCGATGCTAGCCAATGCCGGCCATCCACTGTATGCTCCATGTTCAATCAGATTGAATGATATATTACACTCGCTCCTATGTCATCTGGCGCATCTTTTACAGGAACGTTCTAATCATGTTGGAACAGAGTGATGAATTTGTCGACGACCACAAGATACTCCGCCATGACTCACACAGAATCGCAAATGGTAATCACTTTCCCCACGGTTGGGAAGTGCAGAATGAACCAGAGACAGGCCGGCTCAGTTGAATCCAACCACCTCCGGAACAAGATTGCGAAAGTTATCAAGGATAATCCGATTGGTCTCAATCCTGAGGGCACTTATATGCCGGACAAACAACTTGATCAGCTACTCACCGCCGAGACTGTCCAGTGTGCACTTGGAGGATTGAAAGATATGGGACTCGTCACCTTCATTCTCGAGCGCGCCTGCAAATGTTTTGCCATATTGCAATTGGTCTTCACCGAATGTGGCCGCCGGCGACAAGCTATCGAGTGGTTTCGGAAAACAAAATTTGGGGACGATATTCTAGATCAAACAAAATACGAAAGAGTCTCGAAAGTTTTGCAGCTTTGTGGGCCACAGTGTACAGACACGGAGCACGATTGCAAACACTATTTTCCAGCGAACATGCCTTGGGACACAACTGAGCTCGAAACTTTCAGTGAGAAACGCTGGCATTTCTTATTGCCGATATTCAGGGTTGATCAATTCATCTACGAAATCAATGCTCATCAATTCCTGCCATTCACGGAGAGAGATACAACCGAAGGCCCAGGGGACGGCCATTTCAGCGAAGTGTTTTGCGTCCGCATGTTAGCCAAGCACCAGACCAAAATCAAAACCAAAGAAGATACAATCAGAGTCGCGCTAAAGTCGCTCAAGCAAATCCCAGAGCCAAGATATGACATTGAGAAAGAGTGGCGCCGTGAGGCCAAAGCCTACCAGCAGTTGGATGATGCCAATCGACAATTTATCCGAGGCATCGCAGCAGTTCGGCAAGTAGCGACGTATCATCAACACAACGACAATTATCATCTTGTCCTAGAATGGGCAGATGGCGGCAGCCTTCACAGCTTTTGGGAGGCTAATCCTGATTCTCAGATTGGTATAAATGTCAAACAAAGTCGCGAACGCATGTTGGAGATGCTCGAGCAGTTGCATGGACTCGCAGATGCACTTGAGTATATGCATACTTCCTCGTCCAGATCATCTGGTCGGAGCCAATGCGGCTCCCCACAGAGATCACGAGAGTCTTCACCAACGGGAATTGACCCTATCTCCGACTTCGGACACTTATCAACTATGCAGCTACCCCAAATCTCATTACCCATCAGGGATCTCGTTCAAGAACCAGAAGATATGCGGGAACACGATCGGGGACTGCCTGAAGTATCTGTGACTCCTTCCACGGGAGATATGCCTACCGCAAACCACCGTAGGCTTACCACGATGACATCTGACAACTGGCGCCACGGAGATATCAAGACCGAGAACATTCTGCGATTCAAGGGGGGGAAAGAAGATGTTTGGCTGGGTACCCTCAAGCTTGCTGATCTAGGCAGAGCTCAACAGCACTCCCTCAAAACTGAATTACGGACTACAAAGGAGAAGGAACCGTGGAGAACTATTTGGTACGAACCACCGGATTTGATTGACGAAGTCCATGTGCAGGCCCAGGGAAAGATTTCGCGTCTATTTGATGTTTGGTCAATGGGCTGTGTCATCTTTGAGACTGTATTGTGGCTCCTCTACGGCAAAGAATCTATTGAAGAATTCCTGCGCGCGAATGACCTGGGGTCTGGTGAACAGGCCGCGACACCCTACTGGAGGAAACAACCTGGTGAGGGGTATCAAGTATCACAGGCAGCTTCAGCATGGATGAAAAATATCTTGGAAACAGATCCCGAACGTGAAGGTGCCATTGGAGATCTGATCAGGCTTGTGAAGGATCGGTTACTCAAAATCAAATTGCCCCGCCATTCCGAGATATACTCGCCAGGATTCCGGACCAATGCCTCAGATATGAGAAAAGAGCTCAAGCGAATTTTGGATCATGCAGGACGTGATAAAAATTATCTGTTCAGTGGGAAAGATCGGACTATGGCTCTACCGCCGAAGACAGAGTTGATTATGCCAACTACTTCAATCAGCAAGACGGGCTCATCTTTATCTCCTCGCGATGCAGAAGATCGAGACCACAGGAGACGTCATGGCCGAGCAACTATAATTGCCCAGCAGCGAGTATACACCAACACATTAGGAGATGGATGGATCACTTGTGGTGACGACAGCTTCGTGGACACTATCCTTCGGGACCGCCAATTTTCGGACACACAACCAGATAAATGCCCTGATTGCGATGGCGTCGACGTTCTATCCGAAAAATTATCGTTTGCCGTTGATCATCTCGTAAATAATGCAGGGGATGAGGAGTGTGATATATGTGAACTTGTCCACAGTACGCTTCAGTCGACAGAGCTCACAAAAAATGGTCATATAGTTCTGGAACGTTCTGACGATTGCTTTGTCATGAAAGATACGGGAAAGAAACTACTTAGACTTTGTCGAATCTCGACAAGTGAGTACGACCTGTTCACCTGTCTGTTGAGCTTCATATTTAATCTCGATTTAGATGCAAGCTCAGCCCACAAGGACATTCCTATTGGTGCTCCTACATTGCTCGCTCCTCCTTCCGAATTGAATTACAATTCTGACGACGGATTCGTCAAACTGCTGAGAGCGTGGGTACATACATGCGATGAGGCACATTCTCAATCGTGTCAACCCAACGTTGCGCAGACCAAATTGCCCAAACGGCTGATTCATGTAAGATCACAGAAAAAACCGAAGCTTGTGGAGACCAGAGACTTGGATCCCAAAGACATTCAAGATCTCCGCTATATTGCATTCTCGCACCGATGGGGGAACATGCCCACGGACGCTGTTACTACTCTTGGGAATGTGGAGAAACGCAAGAATAAATTGATCACCAAAGGTCTCCCCAAAAGTTTTCAAAACGCCATTTCTGTAGCAGACGTGCTTAAATGCGACTACCTTTGGATCGATTCGCTTTGCATTCTACAAGGGCCGGACGGAGATTTCAATGATGAAGCAGACACCATGCAAGACATATTCAGTAACGCATACTGCGTCATCGCCGCCTGCGATGCTGACGGTCGCTCGGACGGGTTCCTTAGGAAGAAGCAAACGAAAACGATCTACCAGCAAGGGACGTATTTATCAAGTGTTACCAATGACTTTGAACGAGACGTTCTCCAGAGTCCACTGAATCGACGTGGTTGGGTACTGCAAGAACGTGCATTGGCACGACGAACGATATTCTTTACCCGAAACCAGATGTACTTTGAGTGCGGTGATGGAATCCGCTGTGAAACGCTTGCAAAGCTGAAAAAGTGTGTATTAGCAGAGATTTCCCTGTGAAGAGCGAAAGCCGAGCTAACCGCGGGCCGTGGATTTAGTGACGAAGTCGCCTTCTTGGGAGACCCGATCTTCCCAAACTACACGATTCGCGAGAACAGCACAAGGGGATCGCAAATCCATCTCTTCACCCGGCTGTTCGAAATGTACTCCAAGCTCGAGTTTTCCCACCGTGAAGACAAGCCCATTGCTATTGATGGCCTGATGCATCGTTTGACTGCCGCGTTCAAAACAATCAGTCTGGCTGGAATGTTCAAGGCCTTCTGGGGCCGGTGTCTCCTATGGCAAAGAGCTGGATCACAAGCGCTGGAGAAGATAGCGGCGGGAGCCCATACCAAACGCCTACCACCCACTTGGTCCTGGTTGGCTTATCACGGCGCCATTTCTTTCCTTGAACCAGCCGGCGGCAAAGTAGAATGGAACTCGTCCGTCCATCTTCCCTTTGCCAATCGTGCTCAATCTTCCTGGCTCAAGACTAGTAATCGCAGCGAGACCAACGCCTTGTTCGTTGATGTGTTTCCTGTGCTCCCCATTGGCAGCAATGCCAACAAGGAGAAGGCGATGATCTCGTTTGATGATGGGCAATCGTGGCCGGTGAATGAGGAAGTCATGTGCTTCATTGTAGGCACGGAGAAGCAGACACAATCAGCGACGGAGACGGAGACGAATACTCATTTTGTCGTGCTTGTTAAGCGCATGGATGGTCCCGATTCTTCATCTTTTGAACGCATTGGTGTTGGCCATTTCCCTGGGAGCTTCATCTCCTGGGAGCCGAAGGTGTATGGGAAGATTGAGTAGGTTTGGTGGTGCTGGAGGATGCAGTTTTACTACTGCTTCTTTTTTTTGTTGGGGGTTTAGATTCCTTTGGACGATGATCTACGTGCATGGGTTTGAGTGTGGAATGCTTTGAGGAAGGGGGGGGGGGGGGGGGGGGGTTGACTCGGGCTTGGTTTGTAGAGGGTGGGTTGGAGCGAGAATGTACGCTTGGTTACCGCATGGGGATGGCCCATCTAGCATAGTCATGCTGTTGTTTGTGTTTGTCGTGTGGTCATAGACCCACTACTTGTTAAGGACTGTGTTGATCACCATGGGACGTTTTTTTCTTTTCCTTTCTTTCCTCTTTTCTTCCATGATATGAACGACTTGCTAACGCTAGACGGAGCTGGCGACGGCGTGCAAAACAAAGAACACAGAGAGGGTCTCTTTACGGTATTTTTTTGAGTTGAGATAGTGCACGAGCAAAGGGTGTTCAGGGCCTAACTTGCCTAGCTACGAAGAAGAAGAAAAGAAGATGGCAACAAAGAGAAGGGCAGCGACATCGCTCTGCAGGATGGATAGCTCCTCGGCCATACCTATCGACGCGAGAAAAACAAAAGGTTGAGTTGTTGGAGGTTTGAAGCTAGGGCTGAACGAGGCCTAGCGCCATGCACGGTGAGACGATCGGAGTCGAGTCCGGGGAAGGAAGTGGGGCCGATGGGGTCTCCATTTGTGCTGGTACAGCTGGTCTTGTATGGTAACTGCAGGGGTGGATGATTGGCTCGGATGCCGGGCAGTTCCGTGTATTATACCGGGTGCTAACTGTGTTGGGAACTGTGTACCTGCGATCTCGGCCTTCTCGGTACATGTGTAGACGACCACTTGCTCGGATGGACTGGTTACGGTGTATACAACTCCAGTCGCAAGTCGGTATGAGGGAATGGTCATGGTGGTTGAACGATAAAGGAACATACCGTGTAGCTGGATGGCTGGGTGCATATGTGGGTTGGCTGTCTAATAGAGCCGTTCAGACTTCAGTCCTTTTGCAAGCTACCTACACACTGCACGGTACCAATTGCCGTTTCCTTTGTTCTTGTAGCCGCGACCACCGAAGAACACAAATGCCGGAGGTGGTATGTGAGCATGGCGATCAAACATGGTAAGCCCAGCTCAATAGACTTAGAGTACTTGTACAGAGACACACAGACACAGAGACACTCCCCCCCCATTTCGGGCATACCTCGTTGGAATACCTAGGAACCGGCACCTACTACTCCGTACGTGGTGGCATGTCATATGACCATGGGTTTAGCGTCGGGCGACTTGGGCTTTACTCCAAGTGGTTAGAATATCCCTGTAGGTTCAAGTCCACGTTACAGCGGCAAATTTTTATAGTTATATAAACTAGCCTATAGTTAAGTATAAATTAGGGTAATTTAAGCAAGTAAACGTAGTTTTTATTACTATCTTTTTTAAATATATTCTAAACCTATTCTTAATAATATATAAGCGTTCCTAAATACTATACTAGAGTTTAGTATAGTAGTACTAGATAATATATCTAAACTAGATAGTAATATTAGAGATAAATTTAGGTAACTATATAAAGTGCTAGAGGAGGATAGTAGTAGTAGTGTTAAGGAAGTAAGTAAAAGTAAATAGAATAAGTTTAGAATAGGTTAGTAACATGTTATAGGGGCATAATATATACCTTACTTATAGTAATAGTTAAGGACTACTACTTATACTAGCAATTATTAAGTATATAGCTATTCTCCTAGTATACCCTTAATTATATAGCTAAGGGTATAGGTATATAATACTAGTTTAGCAATATAAAGATAGCTCTTACCTAATAAGAGAAGAGGTGCTTGTGTAGGCTACATAGGTAATATATTAAGAACACGTTCTTAAATTATTCTAATTCTAGTAGGTATAATACTCCCGCTAGTCTATCTATCTTAATAGGCCTACAACTTTACTATTCTTTAATAGCTAGCTAGTAAGCTAGTATAAATACTAATACTCTAGGGTAAAAGTGTATAAGTATCTTAAGAATATATTATAAATATATTCTTATTATATTATTAATAACGTATTATATAATTAGATCTAAACCTTAAAAAGTATAGTACCTAAGAAAATTCTATAAAGAGAACTATAAATAAGAAGCTATTATTATAGCCTTATTAAGCGCTTCTCTTTAAGAATTTATAAGGACTACTAGGTGTCTTATTATCCTATAATAAGGACTATAGTAAATTAAGTAGGGAGCAAAACTTAAATATATTTAAAACGTGTTAATAATAAGTTAGTAAATTATAGAATAGGCTTAACTATATATTAGCTATTAGAACTATAGCCTAATATCTACTACTAGGAAAAAATATTATTTTAGTTAGGTACTACTAGAGGTAGACTCTATATATCTACAAGGTCTTCTAACTAGAGAGATATTAAATCTTTCTAGTAGTCCTGCTTTATATTCTGTAGTTAAGCTATAGTTAAGCTAGATAAAGAAGTGTAGTAGGTATATTATAACCTATTCCTAACATATTCTTAATATATTCTAGGCGTTAATTATCTATAAGGGCAAGGATCTCTATTTAAAATCCTATATAAAGTTACCTTCTAAGTAATTATACTAATAGATATAGTAGTAATACCTTTTTTTACTATTATTTCTTTTAGTATATATATATATATACCTCCTCCTCCCTTAATACTATCTAATAGTAATATTAAGGAAGTAGTAAAGGTGTTATAGCCTATACTTACTCTGTAGCTTATATAATATAAGTTGTTTATAACCTATTATAAATATGTTCCTAACTTATTATAGCCTAGTTCCTAAACTTAACCTAGCTCTAAACCTATCTCTAACTTAAAGGTTTCTATTCTATTAAAGAAATATATATTAGCTTTATAAATAAAGATAAAATCTTATATATTATAAAGCGTAAAAAGCTTCTATAGTTCCTATTTAAGAGTAGCCTTAGAGGAGTATACTATAAGTAGAGGATAAAGTATTAGGATCCTAAAACTATATATAGTATAAGAGAATAGGTTTAGAATATATTACTAATATATTACTATAGGTGTATATATAGCAAATCTTTATATTAAGCTTAGGTAACTTAATTATTTACCTTTTTAAAGAGTAGGTATTAATTCTATTAGATTAAGACACGTTCTAGATAGATATATTATATAAGAGGTTATATAAGGTATAGGTAGAGATTCTAATAGTAATCTTCTACCTATAGGAAAAGAAGCGTACGCATTAAGAATAGGTTTATAACACGTTTCTAACACATTATAGTTATTACACTTAGCTAAATTATTATAGATAAGGATATAACTAAGATATATTAAGTTACTATTACTAACTTCTTTTAGAAGTGTAAAGCACTTATAAAAAGATAAGTGTTATAGAGGTATATTTACTTATAAGGATTCTATAGGACTACTATTAATATATATAATAAGTAGATAATAGGCAAGTTTTATAGCGCACTGCAACCTATTTGTAACGTGTTTCTAACTTGTTTCTAGGACTTAGGCGCTATCTCTAGTTAATTAATCCCTATAAGCGTAACTAGCGCTAGCAACTTTAATCTTATATAAGATTTTATTAAGTACATCTATAAAGAAGTATTTATAAAGTATATAAAAGAGAGCTAGATAATACTACCTCTTTATATCTAAGTGAATTATTATAGGTATTAATAGTAGAGGAATACTTTTAGCTTGCTAACCTCCTCTTATATAAGTAAATATATTCTAAACCTATTCTAAATATATTCCTAACTTATTCTTATATAATTAGAATATAAACCCTCTAAAGATACCTAAAACTAGGTAATCTATAAGAAAAACCTAGTAATTACTACTAGGATTGTGTAATACTATAGTAAAATATTAAAAAAGGTATAGGAAAAACTAGAATCTTATTTAAATATAGCTAAGTAAGCAGGCTAGAAAGGATATAAAACTAGTAAGTATATAAGTATTCTTAAGGCTACTTAGAAGTAAGTTTATAACCTATTCTTAACCTATTAGAATTATATAAGTAATATTATATAGTGTACACTAGATAGATCTATAGGATATAAAAGAGTTTAAAGCCTAGAGTAAGTTTAGAATACACTATAACTATAGAACTCCTAATAGGCTTAAGTAAAGGTACCTTAAAAAGCTTTAGAGGGGAGAAAGTAAGTCTTACGCTAGTGTTATATATATTTACTAATTAAAACATGTTTAGAATATATTTAGAATATATCCTATAATAATAATAACACTCTAGATAATAATAAAGCAAGTCTTACTATATCTAACTTAACTAGATATATTTTAGTCCTAATAAGAAATAAAAGAGTATACTTAAAAGCCTAAAGCTAGAGGGCAAGTAGTAGAGTAGTATTAGAAAGAAGTTTACTAGCCCCTTTTCTATCTTCTCTACTACTAGGCTCTTCTCCTCTACTAATAGTAACCTAAAGGTATACTTTGCAAAACAAGTTTATAATATATTCCTAACTTATTATTAGTCTATAATTATAAACTTTATAATAAAAGGCTCTTCTTAGTAATTAGGCTCTAAAGGAGAGAAAAGAAAAGCTAGAGGTAGATAAGGAAGAACTTATATAGAAAAAGGCACTATTTAAATTATAAAAGGCATAGTTTAAACTTAAGAAAGAGATAGCTACTTTTTATATAAGGTAGGGTTAGTCTATAAATATAGTAACTAGTTCCTAACTAGTTCTTAATATATTCTAGTCTATTATATAAGTATATATAAGTAGATAAATATATATTCTTTCTTCTTCTCTTTCTTCTTCTTTCTTCTTACACTCTATAAGAACTTTTTATATTTAAGAGTTTAATACTATTTTACTATCTATCTTTTCTAATATTATTAGATATAACTAGTTAATATAGTCTATAAAGATCTTTTAAAGTTAGTATATAATAGAACGTGTTAGGAATATATTATAAACTTGTTCTAATACTAAGTAGGATTTATACTAGTAATATATTAAGCTTAAGTTACTTCTATTTAATACTAGGGTATTCTCTCCTATAATATCCTACCTAAATAATAGGTGTATAGTATTTCCTAGCAAGCTTTTCTACTAGGCTATTTAGGCTAGATTAGGGGTATAGGAACTTTATAGAGTATATATACATATAAGTTAGAACACGTTTATAATATATTAATAACTATTTTAGCGTTACTTCTCTAATAGAGGTAATTTTATCTACTACCTTAAGAGGTATTATCCTAAGGTTTAAATAGCCCTAGTAAACTATAGTAGAACTATAATATAAGGTATTATAGAAGCAAGGATCTTCTATAGGAGCTTAATAGTAAATACTTAAGAATATATTCTAAATATATTAATAATACATTCTCTACTAGTAAAGTAGACTATACTAAGTGCCTCCTTTAAGGTTTAAGAACCCTCTAAGATAGCTAGTCTATAATAAGAAGTAGTAGCTAGAGTAGAGGCTAAAGAGGAAGTAGAGAGTAAAGAAGAGGAGTAAATAGTTACTCCCCTTTACACTATAAATAATATTTAGTAAAAGTAGTAAAAAGGAGATATAAGTCTAGTTTCTTAAAATATATTTAGAATATATTAATAATATATTATAGCTAGACACCTATAAATACTAGATTCTTCTTTAATCTAAGGGACTACTAAAGCTTTATAATACCTATAAAAGTAAAAAGAAAAAGTTATATAGTATTAAAGGACCCTATAAAAGTAAATAGTACTTTACTTTTAGTAGATAGAAAAAAAAGAGAAGAGTAGAGAGTTTATTTTAGTAATTACTACTACCCCTTTAGGTTATATACTATTATATATTATTTATTAGAACTTATTCTTAATATATTCTTAACGTGTTCCTACTTATTACTATTATTATCTCCCTCCCCCTCTCTAGTATCTTCTCTATCCTCCCTATCCTCCCTAGGCTCTATAAAAGCATACTATAAGTAGAACTAGGTAGTATTCTAGTAGGAATTAGCAAGGTCTATACTAGTATTAAAGTAACAGTCTTAAAATATATTAGGAATAGGTTAATAATATATTATAAATAACTTACTATAGCTAGGATAATTATAAGTATAGATAGTATAAGGAACCTAATAACCTTAAATCCTTAGTAGGATAGATATAGTAATAAAGTTAAGCTATAATAAGTTAGTAATATATTTTTAATAGGTTCTTATAGGCTATACCTTATTAGTATTATAGCTAGTGTAAGTCTTCTTCTAAATTATATTTAGAAGGGTATTAGTATTTATAAGGGGGCCTATAATAGCTACTAGCTAGGCTTAAAGAACTTCTATAAAATATATTAGTAATAAGTTTTAAATATATTCTAAATAACTTATAGTAAAGAGTATTCTAGTAATTATATATAACCTTTATATAGAAGTCTATATATATTAGTATAATAAGTTAAGAATAGGTTAATAATATATTTACTCTTTACCTTATAGACCTCCCTTATAGAGGGCTAGCTAGTTTTCTTAACCCTACTAACCTTATAGTAAGCTATATTAAGCCTATAATCTTTTTTAGTATAGGTATATAGAGTGCCCCTAGTACCTAGAATAGCCTAAGAATATTAGAACCTATTTAGAATATATTTAAAACCTATTCTTACTCTATATAAGGTGCCCTTATTATTAATCTTAGTATAGTAGTAGCACTCTCTACTCTCTATCTTAACTACCCTATTAGGGCTAACTATAGGCTATACCCTAATATTATCTAGGATATAGCTAAGGGTAAGGTACTATTAATAGTACTTCTATAACCTATTAAGAATATATTCTAAATATATTTTAATCTACTTATATAGGATATAAGGGATATATTAGTAATAAGTATAGTAGTAGTAGCTTATAGTATTACTAGTATAGAATATATTTAGAATAGGTTTAGAATATATTATAAAATCTTATAGTATAATATTTAGTTAACCTCGCTTAGCTAGCTAGTAGAGCTTGGCACAGCCTAACCCCATGCTAAATACGAGTTCACGCAGCGCTAATTCCATGGTTATATGAACTGCGCCCTCACTCCGTACAACACACCAACACACAGTCAACAGCCAAGCTTACAGGGCCCATGCAATCGAGACTGAGTGTACGGGTGGTGGCCAGGCTGCACCCCGGCACGACGGCGCAACGCGGCCGGTGCAGACGACCAAGAAGTCAAAGGCCGCCTGGCCCAACATGGGAGCGAGGGCGTCGGAGGCGTGCAAGGCGTGTGAGGCGTGCGAGGCTGCAAGTCGCTCTCATATCGGACGTCCTGTCCCCCTGCGGCTTTGATATCGCATCGCATCGCATCGCACCGTACCGCACCGCATCGCCGACAATCCAACCCTCGCCACCATGCGCAATCCCGTGGCGTGTGTGTCCTGTCGTTGCGCCAAACAAAAGTGCATCCACAGCGATGTGCCCCCGTGCGATCGTTGCCGGCAGAGCGGGCGGGCAGAACAGTGTCAGTTCCCAGCCCCGGGCACGAGTGCCATCCATCGCAAGCCCAAACGTCCACGGCCACTGTCAGAGAGCGGAGGAGACACGCCACGCCCATCACAGCTGCCGACCCACGTATCCAACCACCCAACCAAGCAGGCGACGACGACGACGACGACGACGACGATTGCGACAACAGTAGCAGCAACAGTAGCGCCCCACGACGCCCTATATCGCCGCAATGACGCAGCTCTGCCGACCGGCCTCAGTCCCAGTGCCGCTGCCTACGCGCTTTCGCCGAACGCGGCATTGTCGCCCCAGCAGCATCATCTGCTGCTCGACGGCGTGGATCCCTTTGACCTGTTGACGGACGAGGTCAAGAACAGCTATCTGCGCTGCTCCTACAAATGGAGCTTCCACCATACCCCGACCCTGTTGCTGCGCATACGCGACCGCACGCTCGAGCCATGGATGGTCTGGGCTATGCTCGCGCTGGCCATACGGTATGTTTTCTAATCGCACTCTCATCTCATCGTCTCATGTTCTGTTCTATTGTCACGATCTGCTTCTCTTTGTGCTCATCCCCCCACCCTGCATCACTCACTTACACTGCCAATCACTACCACCAGATTCGTCAGCGAACCCCCCGCCCCTTTTGCCTCCCAGACCGAGGCCAGCAATGCCTACGCCGCCCACGCCCGCCGTATCCTGCAATCCGACCTGGAGACGCCCTCCATCAGCCGCGTGCAGGCCCTCTTGATGTTGACGGGCCATGACTGGGGCGCGGGCAATGGTCGGAGGGCCTGGATCTACTTGGGCATGGCTATCCGCCTGGTCGAGGTCATGAACTTGACGCAGGAGCCCAAGCCGCCGCGCAACCGGGCCCCTACGCGCGAGGAATTTATCGAGGCTGAAGTGCGTCGCCGGACTGCCTGGACCTGCTTCCTCATGGACTCGCTCCTCAGTGGCGGCAGGGGCCGCAAGAGGTCCCTCACGGCTGCCGACATGTCCATCCAGCTGCCCTGCGAGAGGGAGAACTTTGTGTTTGGAGAGCCCATTTGCACAGAGCAGCTGGACCGATCCACGCGCTTGCCTCAGGTCGCGCTGCCCATGGGCCAGATTGGCATTATTGGCTACAGCATGCGCGCGGCCAACATTTGGGGCAAGGTTGCGCGCTGGGCCTGCTCCGAGGACTTCAAAACGGAGCTCCCATGGTCTTCTGCCTCGCAATTCCAGCAGCTCATACATGAACTCGAAGGCTGGAAGCACTCGCTACCACAACGGCTGCAGTACGACCTCTTCACGCTGCACAGCCACAACGCTTGCGATCAGGGCCAGGCATACTGCTACATGCACTGCATCTACTTTATGAGCTACATGTTCCTCCACCGCGCCTATTTGCCCGTGCTGGGGCCGCAACTCAATGGCGCCATTGCCGAAGAGACGCCTGACTCGTATGACGAACACCGACAAATGTGGAGAGATTGGCAAAAGTCTTCACGCAGAAATCTGCTCAAGGACTCGGCCATGGTCTTGGAGATGCTCGAGGAAATGCGTACATTTGGTGTTTATTTCCTCCGCGGCCTGGTCCCTTGGATCGGATTCACGATATATACCGCCGTCGGTGTCATGCTGTATTCCTTCAATCTCAGCAGTAGCGACGATGAACCTCACTGGCGGGAAAAGGCAAGAGAGTGCGTAGTCCAAGGCTGTGCTTTTTTGCGCGAGATGAAGACGCAATGGCCCATGGCCGCAACATGGGTGAGTGGATCGCATCCTGTGGCCCTTACCTGAGCTAATGACAACAGTTTGAAACAATCAAGCGCATGCAGGCGTACTATCGCTCTGTCCTGGGTCAAGACGCTCCTGCTTCTCCAGAGGAACGCCAGGCTCTACGACGTGCCATGATTGACTATGGCGCTCTGCAGCCTTCGCCGGTGCAGAAGCCCAATGATTCGACCAAGGAGCAGGACCAGGGAGTGGTCTCTGCCAGCCTGCAGTCCACACAGCAGCCCGAGCAGCAGCAAGCCGGGAATCCCAAGTACGCTTATCAATCGCTCACGAGCCCTCCAACAACAGCCCCTTCGCCCAATACTCACTCAACAAGCTACCCCTGGACTTCGCCCAACGCGATACCCCCGTTAGAGGCCGACGATGCATTCAACATGGATCACTTTGACCTGTCAAATGCAGAACTGGACGAGATGATTACGAATGCAACCCAGGACTTTTGGGCGAGCTTTCCTGGCGAAGTTGGAGTCGGGTACCAGTAGAGAGCTTGTGCCACTACGCCGGCGTTAGCTTTCAAGAGCAACTCACGCCATCGTATCCAGGCGTCCCGATCTTCCCGCGGTGCTCCCCCTTCCGTTGCCCAGCAATCTGATCGTCTTGCGACGGTCCATCGGTCAGTTTCACATGACCGGAACTGGGTGTCGCCTGTTCAATCGCCCCGACCACATATGTAGTCAGCCTAATCGGGCCGTTAGTTCCCCCACATCCTTGGCTCTCCCAACATCTCACCATTGTAGGCAGAGCTTCCCGCGACCTTGCTGGCCGTCAACACGGACACAATTCAAAGTGTTTACTCCCCCGCAAGCTACCAGATCATCTGAAAAATTGCATCAGAGGATACAGCGTTAGCCGCATCCATCCGCTTCCGCAGCACACGTCGACACTGGCAGCTGGCTGCGTATCTGCGGCTGAGCCAAGACATCTGGTACGTTCGGCTCCAGGAGGCTGGCCTTAATACAACGCTTGTATCGACATCGGGTTGGTCTTGTAAGCCGCAAAGTTCATGCTTCCAGGTGCAAATCCCGCCGAACCTAACATTGCAAGACATTGCACCAATCCTACTCAACACCGCGCTTCGTTCGAGACTCCTACGCAACATGGGGGTCTACTACGAGACCATTCCCGACTCGCTCGTCCCATGGATCAAAGAACAGCAAATGCTCTGGGTCGGGACCGCACCTCTCTCTGGCGATGGCCACATCAACATCTCCCCCAAAGGCGGGCAGAATTTCGGCATCGTCGACTCACGGACATTTTGGTACATGGACCTTACCGGTAGCGGTGTAGAAACCCACGCCCACCTCCACGAACCGGGCAATGGTCGCATCTGCGTCATGTTCATGGCCTTTGACGGCCCACCCCGGATCGTCCGCATCTGGGGCGACGGCCGGCCGATTGAGAACGGCTCGCCGGAATGGGAGCCCTTCATCGCCAAACACAAAGTCACCGTCATCCCGGGTGCGCGCTCCATCATCCTCGTTAACGTCCACCAATGCGGCACCTCCTGCGGCTTCTCCGTGCCCCTCTACGAATTCAAGGGCCACCGCGACATCCTCAACTCCTTCTTCCGCAACAAAGAGGCCAAATTCCTCGCCGGCAACGAGGCAGAGAATATGGATTACTACTGGGCTTACAAGTCCCAGCTCAGCATCGATGGCTTGCCCGGCATGAAGCGTGGCTACGAGTTTGCGCAGAAACACGGCATCAAGCCGCTCAAGAAGATGGTGGGCGCTTATGCCCCCGGCTCCCAGCGCTCGAAGAAGAATGCCAATCCCGACCCGATGCAGCTGATGCTGGTGCTGCTGCTGGGCATTGTGATTGGTGGGGCGATGGCGCTGAGTGTGGTGACGCCTGAGAGATTGCAGATGTTGAGCGAGAAGGGGAGGGTGGTTTGACGTTGACATTTTCTTTTTTCTTTTTTGGTTTGCATGAAAAAATGAATGCTAGGATGGGATTTCGGGGGGTGCATTGTGCGCGTGAGAAGGGGCAGGTGTTTTGGGAGTTGTGGGTTGGGGGGAGTATAGTCGATGAAGGTATGGGTATGGCACTGTGCTATGCTATACGTCTTTGTCACGAGCAAAAATATAATAAAAAAGTTGGGGGGCTTGATTTGGTTGGGTTTGGCTTGTACCTTTTTTCCTTCATGTCTGGTTTTTTCTAAGCATTGACTCTGTACAGAGTTGTGTGAGATCTCGTGTGAGATCTCATCCTCGTTCTGATTCTCGTTCTTGTCCTCGTTCTCATCTTGACGCCTCTACAGCTACAAAGCACCCCAACAATGCCTTTGTCCCCGTCCTTCACGCTTCCCAAGTGCCTCTCGACTTTGTCCTTGACCCTTTTCCCCCCTTTATCACTTGAGATCGCGGTCTTTGTCTTTGTCCTCGAGATCGTTTCTTTGTCCCGCTTCGAGTATGCTGTTGCTTTCACGAGCGTGAGCGTCCGTGATAAGTCTTGGGGACAATGTTCCCTTTTCATGTTGCAGGTTTACTGTACAAAGTTTCAAGTTTTGCGAATATTAATTTTGTTGGTGTACTACGACGATTTGGATACTATCGGAGAGAGCTATACTGCGAGGATTTCTACGAAGATTGAGATTTACAACTATTCCAACTTACAATCACAGAGATACTCACACCACCACCACTACCATGTCCAACCTCCCACCATCCCGCAAGCGCAAATCCCCACCCTCCCCCTCTATCCCCGGTCCCCGCTTCCCAAGCCCAATACAAACCCCGCACGCAGCCTACAACCCCCAGGTAAGTATACCCCGTACTTCAACTCTCACGTCCCCAGTCGCGTACATTCGCATTCACACAAACTAACCCCACCCCCACAGTTCCAAGCCGCGCTCTGCCTTGCCCGTTACACAGCACGGCGCCGCAGGACCGGGCTGCACGCCCTTGGGACGCGTGAGGCACAGGCATGGAGGGAAGTTTTGGGCGGGATGTTTAGTGCGCTGAGCGAGGGTGTGAGTGTCAGAGGAGGGAAAGTAAAAGGCAAAGAAGAAGGAAATGGGAATAAAGACGCGGTGATTGGCCTTATCGCTGGCATTTACAAAATACAGCATACATCTGATACCCCTGAGACACCGGCCCTCAATCTCCTAACGCATACACATCGCAGACTAAGTGTACAGCTGGATGAGCTGACGCGACTTGTGCCTATGCGTCGGGGTGTTGGGGCGGAGCTGGATGAGGTTGTTTTTGCAGTTTATGGGTTGGTTGTGGGGATGCATGGTTTACTTTTTTCTGGTATGGGTGACGCCGCTGCTAACCCCTCGCTCAGAAATATTCTACCTTACACGCCTCTCCGCCTGTCCGGTCTACGCTACTGGGCCGCCTGCATCAAAGAGGCAGCGGGGGAGCGGGATAGCGCGTATCATGCGCTTGGGCATTTGGTTCCGGAGGTTGAGGAGGTGAAGGGGGTGTTGGAGGTGGAGGGGGGGTTTGGGGGAGAGGAGTGGGAGGGAGAGTGGGGTTGGGTGGCGGGGTTGAAGGTTTTGAGGGGGTGGGGGTTGGAGGGGTTGGAGGGGGGGACGGTGGAGGAGAGGGGGGAGAAGAAGAGGCGGTTGGGTGTGGAGGGGGAGAGTGAGCGGCAGGAGAGTGAGCAGCAGGAGAGTGAGCGGCAGGAGAGAGAGCAGCAGGAGAGAGAGCGGCAGGAAATGGAAAGGCGGTTAGCTGTAGAGAAAGAAGAAAAGAAACAACAAGAACAGAAACAGCAGCAACAGCAATTAGCTGCGGCGTTAGAAAAGGAGAAACGGCAGTTGGCATTAGAAAAGGAAGAAAAGGAACGGCAGTTAACATTAGAGAGGAAAGAAAAAGAACGACAAGAAAGAGAACAACGGCAAGAAAAGGAACGTCAGTCAGCTATAGCAGTGGAAGAAAAGAAACAGCAATTAGCTATTGCGTTGGAAGCAAAGAAGAGACAATTAATTATAAATAAGGAAGAGAAGGAACAAGAAGAAAAAGAACAAAAGCTTGCTATGGAGAGGGACGAAAAAGAAGCAAAACGACAAGAAATGAATCGACGTTTAGCTACAGCGTTAGCAGAAAGAAAACAACAGTTGATGGTGGAGCAGCAAGAAAGGGAACGGCAAGAAAAGACACAGCAGTTGGCTATGACGATGGAAGAAAGGAAAGAAAAGTTGGTTGTAGAAAGGAGACAGGAACAGAAACGGGGCCACCCAGCCTCTCCCAAAGAAGCACAGATTCGAAATCCAAGACAAAGTCCAGCAAAGCCTGGTATTGATCTGTCAGGATTGTCTAATTCATGCACGGGTCTCACGCCCAAGAATCCGTTTGTCACGAGTCCTACGCCGCATCCGTTTGTCACGAGTCCAATGCCGCATCCATTCGTCACAAAACCCGTGCCCAAGCATCCATTCATCACGAATACTACACCCAAAAATCCGTTCATCACGAAGACTACGCCCAAAAATCCGTTCATCACGAAGACTACGCCCAAAAGTCCAATACCCAAAGCCTCCACACCCCCAAACCCCTTTTTGACAAATCGCTTTCTTACAAATTCTACGCCGACAAATTCCACACGCACGAATCCTGCATCCAAGAACGGCTTTGTCAGGACAGCGACGGGGGAAAAGTCAATGTCGAATACACACATGGGCACGAATCTCTCTGTCACGAACGCTACTCCTAAAAGCCTGAATTCCACGAATCCTTCACCCTCAAATCCCTTTCTCAAGACCACTGCTCCTAAAAGTCTCCATTGCACAATTCCTACACCCACACCCCCCTTTCTCAAAAACACTACTCCTAACCATTCCCGCCCTGCAAACTCCACACCCACAACCCCCGTCCCCATAACGCCGACGGCAAAGAAAGCAAACACAACACGACCCTCATCCAGCTCGACGCCCACCCCGCAACCCACCTGCCGCTTCTTCAAAACCCAAGCCTGCGTCCACGGCTCTGCGTGCAAATTCGCCCACAGCGATGGTGATTTTTCTGCTGCTCTTGGTCCTGGGCTGACAGGTAGTACCGGTATAACTGCATCTCGCAGTCCATTGGATGGTGGAAGTAAGAGAAATCCAAAGCATCCTCCTGCTCCTGCTCCTTCTTCTGCACCCGCACCACCATCCCCCCAGCCCTGCCACTTCTTCCAGCGTGGAAGCTGCAAGAACGGTGCGTCGTGCCGCTATGTACATGGGCGTGTGGGGGAGTTTGGTACAATGCGCGATACTGCCCATTCTACTCCCCACCGCACCAGCAACATCTTGGCTCAGGCTCAGGCTGCGGCCAAAGGAAAAGGCTGGATGAAGAATTTGCAGTGTCGACAAGGTGCGGGGTGTAGGAATCGGAAGTGTGGGTTTGGGCATGAGGGGTTGGGGGGTGAGTGATGTGTGGTGTTTGTGTGGTGGGAATGTAATTTGATAATAGTACGTTTGAATATAGGGGAAGATACATGTAGAGGGAAAGTTGTTTTATAGTATTGTATTACAGTATCTTGGGTATTATGTATCCCTAGTATTTCTGACATGGAGGGTGGGGTGTGAGTGATGTGTGATGTGTGATGGTTGTGTGGTAGTACTATAATATAGTATTAGTACGTTTGAATATAGGTGAAGGTGCATATAGAGGGAAAGTTGTTTTGTAGGGTTATATTACGATACCTTGAAAATCACAGTTATAATGTATTACTACTCTTTCTAGTATAGAGGGTAGTGTGTAATGAATGTATAATATTTGCACAGTAGTACTACAACAGGACCATCACCTTGCAACATGAGTACAAGGCCCTTTGGAGAATAGAATATTTTGTATCCTGTTATATTATAGTACCTTGCAGGACAGTCATGGTGCACATGGAGATTAATGTTACTCTCCACCATCACATCACAATACCTTGTATATCATCATCCTTGACTCTCCCTCTTCTTTCTCGCATGCATAGTGTTATAGCAGTTCGGGTTGAAATCCATAGATGTGTAGATCTGATACATGTAGCTCCACAATTACAGTCACATTGAAGAGGGCCACAGTGCCCAAAGAGGCAAACGCGCACGTGCGCACACAGAGAGTGTCTTTGTCTGCACGTCTAGCTCCAAGTGTGGCTAGTTTGGAAGGGACTAGTCTGTAAGTGGGTGAGCCTCGGTATGTCGACTAGATCCGTCTCCTCTGTTCTATGATGCGCAGTGCATGGTCCAGGGTGGGGGAGGGTTGGTTGTGTTTTGTCTTTTCTTTGTGGGTGTGGTGGTTGGTAAGTGTGAAGAGAAGACGAGGGAAATACAGGCAAGGCACGGGAAGCAGCGGATATTGCACACACACACACACACACACACATGTCCATGTGTCTCGTGTTGGTATCACTGTATCACTGCCTGTAAGATAATGGAAATCATGTGCGCTGCCGTGCCGCAGCATAGGCGACAGATGCGTGGCAAGCCGATAAAACAGTAACAGGGCAAGCTTTTTCGAGGCAAAGTCTTCTGCAAGGTTGGCGCGTGATAGCTCGAGAGGTAAGCCTCTTTGGCGCGACGGCGCCAATTTCCGTGCGCTCTGTCGGTCAGCGCCGAGAGGGACGTGTGTGGTCGTTGCGAATTTTTTTTTTTTCAATCACGACATTTTGGGGGCGTGGGTCGGGGATGGTTAGGGTACCGTAAGTGTGCTAGGGTTTGAGTGTATGTGTACATTGTGTACATGTGTGTGAGAGTGTGCGAGTGTGCGAGTGTGCGTGTGTGCGAGTGCGCGTGTGTGTAGGAGGGAGAGGGAATCAGAAGGATGGATACGATGACCGGCAGCCTGAATTCCAGAGCAATGGCAAGGCGAACGGCACACCAACAAAATACTTAGCATCAGGCGCCCTCCCCTTCCCAGGTCACACTGTTACTGTACACAGAACAAGAGGAAGTCGAGTTGTGGATGAGAGTCTAGCTGAGGAGTGGATTGGCTAACCGTCCAAGCTTTTGCCGCCGATTCTCTTGTTCGTCGGGCTAAGAATCGACGAGGGCGGCCCCACTTTCGTATCCTAGCCCAGTTCCAGTCCGTCCAGCGCCAGCGACACGAGTCGGCGCCGGAGGGTGAATTGATTGAGCAGTGGGGTGGATGGATGCACCACTGGGACTGCTGTTCTATCGGGCCAGTTGGGGCTTCTGGAACGGGGTAGAAATGGGTGTATCTGCGGTGTGGAAGAGGAGCTATTGATAGGTACTGTTTGGTAGAGTAGGTACTGGTAGGCATGTGTGGGTAGATGGAAAGCAAGGTCGTGGAAAGCACGCAGTCTTCTATCTATAGACTGGTGTTTGCTGGGGGGTTCATGGAGACTAGGATGGTGGTGATATGTGGTAGTGTTGTATGTTGGAGATATGGTTGCATGTCACGTGTGTTCCGTGTAAGACGCAAGCGGCGCGGGAGGAAAACCACAACGTTGGAGGCGCTGCTTAGCGTGTCTTGGCGGGGGTGGGGGGGTGGGAAGGAACGATTGGAAGGGTGGAAGGTGCAAGGTGCAAGGTGGAAGGCGCAAGGTGCAAGGTGGAAGGCGCAAGGTGCAAGGTGGAAGGCGCAAGGTGCAAGGTGGAAGGCGCAAAGGGCAAAGTGCAAGAGGGCGTGTTGGTGAGCGGGGAAAGAGGGGACAGAGAGGAGCAGTCAGTCAGTCAGTCAGTCAGTGTTAGTCTTCCATGTTCAATAGTGAACCCAACATCAGTAAATGATTCGATCGTGATGGTACGGGTACGGTTCCGGTACGGTCGCCCGGAAATCAATCAACCACGTCCATTCAGGCAGGTCGGCTGAGTAGCCATCCTCCTGCAACCTGCAACCATTGGCGCCACTCCTCTTGGCCGGTGCAAGCTCTCTTCTTGACGGCCTTGATAGCCTTCCAAGATGGACGGCCACCCGCTTGCCACCGGCCATTAGCATCTTGGCGAGGCTTGAAGTAGCCTGTCGCCCGCTCGGCGATAAACACACCCATTTGGCAGTTCTGCGCATCTCCCACCTATTGTCTGGCAGCCCCAAAGCCCTTGGGAGAGTCTAGTAGAGTAAGATGGCCCCCCCCCCCTTTTGATACATACTATAGTCAGCCCCTCCATCGTCCTCCATACCCGTACTCTACTCTACTCTACTTTACTCTACTCTACTCTACTGGGCTGATCCGACGTCGAATCCCTGCCCCTTCCACCACTCCTCCGGATCAGGAAGGAGCGAGCAAGACCAATCACATCACCCGCCCTCTCCCACTCTGCAACCAAACATCCATAAAACTCTCTCTCTCCCACGCCCACTCTCTCCTCCTCCTCCTCCTCCTCCTCCTCCTCCCCCTCGAGACCCCTCCCTCCCCGTCACCTCTCCTAGTAACGACCGCAACACTGCTCGCCCACCATGGCCATTGGCGACGCTGGTGAAGTCGTAAGTTCCAGTCTTCACTCTCTAGTAGCCGTTCCACTCCCGCCCTATCGTCAATCTATATAAGCATCCTACACCCATGTCCACTCAATCTGCACGACGCAGCGTATCTTGCTAACACGCCTCGCAGCAAGCCGTCGGCTTGGATCCTGCTCTGCTTGATGCCTCTGGCGACCCTCAGCGCAAGCATCCAGAAATGCACTCCACAGGAGCACCTCCCTATCTTCACTCCGAGGGAAAGGCCACCCTTCAAGACAACTACCTGACCGAGGCCGACGACGAACCCACAGCAGAGGAACTCTTGACCCTGCGCCGTGTGCCTGCTCACATTCCATGGAGAATCTTTTCTGTACGTCCTACTCTCACCCACTGCACCATTCTCGCATCTTGAAAAGACCGCGTGCTAACCATGGCACGCCAGATCGCCTTTGTTGAGCTGGTAGAGCGCATGTCTTACTATGGAACCATCGCCGTCTATTCCAACTTCATCGCCAAGCCGCTCAAGACCCCAACTGGTGCCGCCCTCGATCCTTCCAGCGACGAGGCCCAGCCCGGCGCATTGGGTCTCGGAAAGCAAATTTCCTTCAGTTTGACCACCTTCAACTCCTTCTGGGTCTACTGTTGCCCGCTTCTGGGAGCCTGGATCGCCGACACCTACCTCGGTCGTTACAAGACCATTTTCTACTCTGTCCTCGTTGCTGAAGTCGGCCATATCATTCTCGTTGCCTCCTCTGCACCCTCTGTTCTCGAGAAGCCCAACACGGCCCTCGGTGTCTTCATTCTCGGTTTGATCATCATGGGTCTCGGAACGGGAACCTTCAAGCCCAACATCTCACCTTTGATTGCTGAACAGGTCCCTCAAGAGCGCATGCGTGTCGAGACTCAAAAGGGCGAGCGCGTCATTGTCGACCCGGCTGTGACGGTGACGAGAATCTACAATTGGTTCTACTTCTTCATCAACATTGGCGCCTTGGTTGGCCAGATTGGTATGGTCTACGCCGAGGTAAGCACACGTGCAGATTTGCTTTGACCGCGTTCTTTACTAACTCGCATCCTTTTGTAGCGCTATGTCGGCTTCTATCTGGCCTACCTGATCCCCACAGTCATGTTCGTCCTCTGTATCCCTGTCCTCATCTTCTGCAAGAAATGGTACATTCTCCGTCCACCGAGCGGCAACGTCATGGGTCCTGCTTTCAAGCTGTGGTTCAAAGCCCTTGGTGCGGGCTGGACGAGGAGCCCTGCGCAGACGTGGAAGAACTGGAACGATGGCACCATGTGGCAAAAAGTCAAGCCCTCGTATCTCGGTGCAAACGCACCCTCTTGGTACAATTTCGACGACGCCTGGGTCGACGAGGTGGCCCGTGGTCTCGGTGCCTGTTCCGTCTTCTTCTGGGTTCCCATCTTTTGGCTCGCGTACAGGCAGATGGATTCCAACCTGACGCAAATGTGCTCCACCATGAAACTCAACGGTGTCCCCAACGATTTGCTGCAAAACCTCGATCCCATTTGCATTATCATCATCGTACCTAGTAAGTTTCTCTTCTTTTCCCTGCAAAACCATGTTTTGACCGCCATTTCTAGTCATGGACGTCGTAATCTACCCCTGGCTCCGCAAAAAGGGCATCCGCTTCACGCCCATCAAGAAAATCACCGCCGGCTTCATCCTCGGTGCCTTCTCCATGGTCTGGGCCGCCGTGCTCCAACACTACATCTACAAGACCTCGGGCTATTACGAAACCGGCGCCGCAGAGTACAAATCCCCCATCAACGTCTGGGCCGTCACCGGCGTCTACGTGCTCATCGCCACGTCTGAAATCTTTGCCTCGGTCACGACGCTCGAATACGCCTTCACCAAAGCCCCGAAAAACATGCGCTCCCTCGTCCAATCCGTCCAGCTCTTCACCACCGCCTTCTCCGCCGCCCTCGCCCAGGCCTTCACCCCGCTCACCAACGACCCCCACGTCGTGTGGAATTACGGCGCTGTGGCTATCATTTCGTTTGTCACAGGCATCGCCTTCTTCTTCGCCTACCGCAGAATGGACAAGCAAGAAGACGAGCTCAATTTGCTACCAACGGGTCATTTGGGCACCGCGACACAGGCTGAGGATGTCGAGCGTCGCGCGAGCGTGGCGTCGCATAGCCACGGGGCGGCCACTACGCTCAATGAGAAGAATTAGGTTTTGGCATGTTTGCAAATTTTTTTTGTTTTAATTGAGGGGGACGGAGTTGGCATAGTAAATGACAATGTGATGTGATGTAGTTTTGTGCTCTGCTCGACAGGTAGCGAGTAGCCCATGTATCTTGGGTCCGGTTTAGGAGTTGCAGAGTTGCATCTTTTTGACCAGATGGATGCGTTTGCGAAAGAGCATGTGGAATAGGTAGAGGGAGTGATAATGATAATGCGATTTCTTGACTTGAGAGGTTGGGACCTGTTGTGTTTGTATTGTATGCCACCCAAAAAAACATGGACGATGTCAAATTCTACTTTCCAGCTGCTCTAGTAACGACGAGGGAGATTTTAGCAATGTTGGGGTGGACGGTGGAGGGTAGAGATTGGAGAAAGAGGTCAGGAACTGGAAGTCTGAAACTGAAGACGGAAGACAGATACTGGAGGGTAGACAGTGAATCCAAAACTAAAAAGTCCAAGGATTTCAAAGCCTAGGTGTCTTGAAGGGTAGGAAAATTTAAAGTATAGCTGGTATGGTGTTTACTTGAGAGGAAAGAACTTGGACAACTTGGACAACTTGGACTTGTCAAACCAAGAATAAAAGACATTGAGGCGGCAAGCCTGAATCCCCGCCTCCAGCAGATGAAGGAAAAAACACAACCTGAACTGATGAGAAAGGTCGTCAGACTTGGCTTGTGCCCACGTTCTCCACCCCCTTTATACACTCAGCTAAACGGACGAGTGTGGGTGCGGCGTTGATCCTGCGTCATGGGCCTGACTGCTTTCATCACGAGTCCGACTCTATCACTAGAGCCTCAACACATCAAAAGTACCAACAAATCACTCTTAAAACTCAAAAGCCTAAAAAGAAAAGAAAACATCCCATTCACAACGCCTCGGCCATGCCATACAACCCAACGCACACACCAATCCCCTGCCCAACCACCTCCCCTCACTTCGCCGGCAACTCCCTAAACACGTGTTTGAAAATCCTCTTACTATTATACAAATTGACCAACCGCAGACGCTCATTGTCCAAATGCGCCGAATCGCTCGCCTGGCCACAGGGCAAATGGGCCGCTGGCGCATTAAACTCCTTTTCCAGGAAGCGGATGCTAGGTATCGAGCCGCCTTCGCGAATGTACAGGGGTTTGCGGGGTGGGGTCGTGGTTGGGGGTGTGGATGCGGATGCGGATTGGGAGTTGGCGAGGGTGTTTGAGGTTGCGGGGACGAGGGTGGGTTGTGCGGGTGATGAGGGGGGGAAGTAGTCTTGTGCTTTGGGGGTGGGTTGGCAGTCGTGTGGTTGGCCTAGCGTGGGGCCCCAGACCGATGTGATGGCCCGCTCGAGTGTCTGGAAGATTTCATTGTTGAAGTCTCCGAGCCAGGGCTCGGCTTGGTGGTCAATCGTCACTGTCAATCGGTTCTTGGAGTCGAGGTCTTCGAATTCGGACTGCAGAAACGAGGTGAGGGCTTTTGCTACTTCATTTGCTTCTTGGTTGGGCACGAGTCGTATCGACATTGCGGCTTTGGCGAGCCGGGGGATGATGGTGGAATTGTCGGGGCCTGACGTCTGGAATCGATGTATGGTAAGGGAGGCTTCTCGCCATCGCCGCATGAGAGATTGCGCCAGTTCCACTGGATCTCCCAGGCCTGGGTTGCCCTGCAGCAATGTTTTTGTAATCTCGGTGTAGAGATCTTCTTCATTTTTGGTGAGGGGTAGGACAGGATCATAGAAGCCAGGAATCTGTACTTTGCCATGTCGGCCTGTCAACTTTGACAACAACATGACAAGATCTTTCAACGGTTCATCGAGCAATGCGCTCCCATCCACTCCGCTGTGCAGATCCGGATGCTTGCTCTCAATCGACACTGTGGCGTGAATGACACCTCGCAGTCCATACGTAAGACATGGCACGTGATCGTCGAGCCAATAACTATTGGCCAGGAGAATCCAATCCACGTCTCCAATGAGATCCTTGCGTGACTGCACTGCCTTTTCGAAGCCCCTCGAACCGCTTTCTTCCTCACCTTCGATGAGAAAGATGATGTCGGCGTCCAGACTTTGCTCCTTGGCCAGCTCGTGCGCAGCATAAATGGCGGCCATGATGGGCCCCTTGTTGTCGGAGACGCCGCGACCGTACAGGTAGCCATTCTCTCCAGTCAGGACGAATGGATCATGTTTCCACTTGCGATGCTCATTCTCGGCTGGAATGACATCGTAATGACCGTAGAAGAGAATCTTTTTCCGGGAGGCCGCTGTCGCGGGGTTGCCCCTGAACTTGGCGAACACTACGGGGTTGTATGGCTCGCTGGTGTTGATCATCTCTGTCATGGCACCAAAGTTTTGAAATACAGACCGGAGGTACGAGGCTCCTCTTCTACAGTCGGCGCGGTACTTTGCTTGGGATGATACTGTCCGAAATGATACGAATTGCGACAACGATTCAACCATGAGGTCTAGGGCAGTGTCAGTGCGCCACATTTGAGATTAAAGGAGTGTATGCACCATTATTGCTCCTGCTGGCCACTGCATCTGGCTCCATGCAGTCTTTGACTTCCCACACCACTATGGTGTTGTCGTTGCCACCAGTAAAGAGCATGGGTCTATCATCAAACTTGGCAAATGCGGAAGCGAGAATCAAGCCGTTGTGTGCCTTGAAGGTGGTGATTGTCTCATAGTGCTCGTTGAACTTCTGTGTTTTTTTCATCAGCATGGAGCCTGGTAACATACTACCACCGGCACGTGTACTAACCTGCACAGACCCAGACTTTCCACCTGCATACAGGATTCCAGCCCCAAGCGTCAGTGTATGGACATCACCTACATTGGCCTTGAGACTTCGCACCAGTTGACGCGTCTCAAGATCCCATACGTTGATTTCGCCATCGAATCGTCCACTGTAGAGAAAGGAGCCCTCGCGTGCGAGTGATAATATCGACTCACCTTCCTCTCGGCCGTCCTCCAGGGTATAGATGATGGAAATGGATCCACGTTGTGTAGGGTCGATTCGCCAAAGCACTATGCGCCCATCCCCACCGCCCGAGACCAGGACCTCTTCTGAAGGCGCGTCTGGAAGTATCCCCTGTCCCAATAGCATGCAGTGGACGTATCCGTAGTGTGCAAACTGGTGTATGTCTTGATTATCGATCTGGAGTTCCTGTCCGCCTGCTGCGTCGCGTGGTCGATGTTCAGCCCCGCTTGGCTTCGGTGTCTGCGCACCCCCAGGGCCGAGGGAGTCGAAGAATTTGTTTTTGCGCTCATTCGGATGTGAGCTCGTCGATGGGCGGGGTCGCGTGTCCTTTTCTTTCAAGTCGTACCACTGTCCTCGTCAGCACTTCGTTCTCTCGGGGAACCGGCCGCTTACTTGGATACTCGTATTCTGTGCACCAAGGTATACGGTGCTGTGGCAGGATGAGTATGCGACACAGAAGATGTCGCCAATATCATAGGGTGACCACAGTGCGTAGAGATGCTGGAAGGTAGAGGTACACCAGACCTGGCCCATTAGCCATGCGAACCAGCCCACTTGACAGCGTTGCTTACATTTACTATGGGGTCGGCTGCACTCGAGAAGAGCAGCTGCTGGTCTTGCGATAGACATAGACCGAGGATACTGCCTTTGTGCGCGTGTATGACTCTGCGGCGCTCATACGTGTCGAGACTGAATACCTAGGGAGCATGAGTTGATGATGATGCCAGCGCGCCTGGTCTGATATCCCCTCCGAGGTACATACAAGCAGTTCGCCACCCTGGGTACCCGCAAAGATGTACTGCGATGATACGGCGAGCGCAAGTATGGATTTGTCGTGCTTCATGCGATGCGACAAAGATGGCCTGCTTTTCGCCCCCGGCGCAGCTTCATCGTCACTGTCACTATAAGACACAGCGTCGTGTTGTAAGGGCACTGCTGATGGCATTGTCAGCGCAGCTCCAAGCGACTCTCTTCTCTGGCGCTTTTTCTTGCTGTTCCTGCATAGCATCTCCTGCTTGCCTGTCGTGTGAAGCTGGTCCGGCCCGTTGGCGTCGAGAGCGATGACGGAAGCGCCAGGGTCCAGTTGGGCCGGCCGGCGGCGGAGCTACTCTACCATGCCATAGGCCTGACATATATGCGATGCGCCCATGCAACATTGAACAGAGCATCCTAGCTTTCCAGCTGGCACGCCCATGTACGGTACGGTACGTACCTTTTCGGCCTACATTCTGCTTGACCTCACACGTAGTCGTCGTGGTTGACTGCGAGTATTGACACATGGCTCGTTCTGCAGAGCTGCAGGCAGAAATCAGGTGAAAGGGGAAGATTGCAGAAGCAGGGACGGTGTCGCTGTGAGGCAGCAATTGGTCAAAGATGGGGGCAATGGGACAGGTGGACCACTGCGATAGCTCATCCCCGCCGTAAAGTGTCGTGTCGGAAGAAGTTTCATGGTCACTCAGAGCGCGCTCAGGAGAAGGAGAAAAACTATGGTGGGTGTACATGGCCACAGGGTCACGGCTTCGATATGGCGAGCTTGCCCTGTGCGATGGCGCCATTGGTCTCTGGGAGGAAGCAGCACTTTTCGGTGACGACAGGGCGTTGCAACGAACAAGCACTTTATCCGTCGTCCAGCCTCTGTTGTTTTTGCATGTCAAACAGGTCAAAGACGTGGAAGTGGATTGTGACCCGCCAGCGTCTGCTGTGTGCTGCAAACTGCTGGCAGTGTGCTTACCCCAGCCATTGGGAGGCGTGGCATCCGCGATTCATACGCTACTGTAGCTTCTGCAGTCGCACAGCGCAGCAGAGGGAAATGATGTGCGCGTCGGCGAGTTCAGCAGCTGGATACGTGTTCACCACGCTCGACCGTCCATGAGAGACAAGACGTAGAGGCCATGTAACGCCCCGAGACATTTGAAGTCGTGGACATGGCCATGATAGGTGAGCAACAGCTGACGCGATTGTTTGCAACTAGGTACGAGCGCATCTGGCAAGCTCCGCGCGGCGGGATGCATAGAAGGCCGCAAGCTCCGGGAACGAGCCGTGGATGGTGCATATGCGATTGAAGCTGGGATCGCTGATCATTTGGCGTCTCCCGAAAAGGGTCCTGGGGTTGGTGGGGGAGTGCAAGTGAGTGAGTCGGCACGATAACATGGACAGAGGGAGATGGATGTGTTAGTGACACCGTACTGTGTGGGCTGTTGTGGACACAGGCAGAGAGAGAGAGAGGGGAGAGAGAGAGAGAGAGAGAGAGAGAGTAGGAAGAGGTCTTCCCTGTTGGGGCGAAAGGCGAAGAGCAGCAGCCCAAGGTTGAGTGAAATCTGATGATGATGATGATGATGAATATGCTGGGTACGTCAGGATGTTAAAGATTTTTCAGCAGCTTCTCGCAGTTTTCCCTCGGAAAAGAGAATATGGCAGGTGGTGTAGCTGGTCTTGTCGTCAGGGAGGGGGGGTTGACTCTTGGGTGAGGGGTTTAGTGAAGGACTAGAAGGGTGGGAGAAGGGGAAGTAGAAGCTTGGCGAGTGAGGGGTTTTCTGTTTTGGGAAGCAGCAGGCGTGGGGGTGGAAGGTTTGGGAAGCCGCGACCCGCTTCTTTCGACCGGACATGACCAATCCATCTGCGACTTGGAACACTCGAGAGTAGATGCAATGTCCAGTACACAGGGTAGATAGACAGTGGAGTGTGGATGATACTTGGTACACAGGGTAGACAGTGGAGTGTGGATGATACTTGGTACACAGGGTAGACAGTGGACTGTGGATGATACTTGGTACACAGGGTAGACAGTGGACTGTGGATGATACTTGGTACACAGGGTAGACAGTGGACTGTGGATGATGCACAGTAGGGCCAAGTAGTGCAGTACCAGAGTGGGCGTGGGTAGTTTTGTCAGTTTACTAGGTCATGGATGGGAAGATGGATAGCTACATACCGGTACCGTACTGCACTTGGCCCATGTCCTATGTAATCGTCCTACTGTGCATGCTTGGGTAACTGGGCACCGTACAGACCGGCACTGCAGTCACGTGTCAAGGCTGGAAGAGAGAGGAGAGGAGTTGACAGAGGCATGAACATTCCATCGTCTCGACCTCCATGGGGCCTTTGTTGGAAGAAGTCACCAGCCACAGCCACAGCCACAGCCACACTCTTTCACTCACCCACACTCTCTCACACAACCACAGCCACCCTCACTCACTCACCCACCCTCTCACACAACCACAGCCACCCTCACTCACTCACCCACCCTCTCACACAACCACAGCCACCCTCACTCACTCACCCACCCTCTCACACAACCACAGCCACCCTCACTCACTCATCGCCAGCCACAAGCGCCCACTTGACATGTCTGCCTCATGGCCATCTGCCAAGCTTGAGAAGCTGGCTGAGCTGATCCATGCCGCCAGCTCAGCTTCCAAAACAAAAACATGTCATCCTTCTTCCTCGGCTCGGCTACTTCTACTTTTCAAAACCTTCATCAGATTTGGGCATCAAGCACCGAGTGTCGGGTACCGGCTTTGGGATGCGCCATGCCATCACCATGCAGTCCGATCGAGGCTCTTTGGCTGTCCACTCGCAGCAGCGACACGTTCACAGCATGCAGCTTGCCCGAAAACTGGCACTCGTCTGCCCGCTCTCCATCCCCTCTCTCACTTTCTCTGGCCATTTGCGGTGCAGCGATACGTCTGCCCGCATCGTCGGCCGCATAGACTAGCATGCGCCAGATAAATCTCGCCTCGGCTAACGTAACTCTACACACCCAGACACTCCCACAGTAGGTTTAGCCAGCACCAAGGGCCTGACCAGACCTTGATCGTGGCCCTCCGCTGTCCTGTAACAGGGCGACACGCCAACCAACAACCCCTTCCCGCCCCGCCTATCCCGGCCGAATCATTCACGCCCACCCCCGCGAATGCCAGCGCGCGAGCCTGTCCTGTCACCTACTTGGACCGTAGTTTAATACCCACGATAGGTTGGCTGCGGGCAGCCCCGTCACTGGCATGCCCGCATCCCCCCTTGCTTCCACCACTCTCGAACCGCTCCTCCACGCCTGTTGGCCACGATGATGCATGCTGTCTCTTCTTGACTTGTCCTCGACTGGTATCCCCCCCAGATCACCGCCTCACTCTCCGCGCGTGCTCTTCCGACACTTTGCGCCGCTAGTTCTAGACTACCTACCTACTGGCCTACATAGACTGCTGGCCAGCGACCAAGACAAGAAAGAGTACCTACGTTTACGCAGGCCCCCTAGACAAGCACGTCTGAGTCGGAGCACTACGACTACTACACAACACACACCGTACCTACCAACTGGTATATATACTTTCTGACTGACCGACTCTATCGCTTGTGTGATCCAGGTGGACCCGTGGAGCCTGCCAACTAGGAACCGTTTCCGCGCGCATTGATACATCCTGACCGCCTCCAGCCTCGTTGATCCAGGCATCCAAGCACCACCTATTTCTCTGCCATTCCCGTCGCACGTTACCTCACTTTGCACGTTACACCACTTGTCTTTGCAGCCCAGCGCAGCTGCAGCAAAAGAAAAAGAGAAGCCACGCAGTCGATCCCAATCCATTGCAATGGGCGTCGGAGAGACCATCACCGTCATCAACAAGTCCGGCAAGGTGGTGAGCAGTGTGAGTCGCCCGATAAGGAAATCCCCCCCTCGCGATAAGGAGACCAGCTGACCCGCACATGCACCACACCCACAGAGCAAGCATATTGTCAACGTCTTCAAAGAAGCCAAGGCCGCCTATCGCGAGCGCAAGGCTGAGATTCAAGCAGAACGCGATGCGGTTGCGCGCGAGAGGAAGCTGGCCAAGGGCGTAGAAGCCCTTCGCATCCAGGAAGATGACACACGCTCTCACTACTCGAGGGCCACCCACCGCTCCAAGTCGCATAGGAAATCTTCACATCGCGAGCGCCCGAGTATGGAGCGCGGCTATACCGACAGCTTCTATGCCAATGACAGTCCTCGCCAGAGTCCACGGGGTAGCACCCACCGTTTTGAGCAGGACCTCGCCGGCGAGGGTCGCGACGCGCACAGGAAAGAGATTGCACGAAGAAATTCAGACATGCATGTCCAGCAGAAGACGCGCTCGAAATCAGAAGCCTTTGTCGACATGGACCTTGCCTATGGCGACATTCCCCCACCCCTTCCCGCCCAAAAATACGACGACGGCGAACTCAAAGAGAAAGCATCCAAGATTACCATTCTCCTGGACGAGGCCAACTGTCTCCAATACTCGGTCACCACCATGATTGAAAATCTCCAACAGAACCCCGAAGCTCTGGCTGCCGTCTCCCTCACCCTGGCCGAGATTAGCGCGATTGTCGGTAAAATGGGTCCAGGGGTGCTCATGACGCTCAAAGGAAGTTTCCCCGCCGTCGCCGCCCTCCTCCTCTCTCCTCAATTCATGATCGCCGGCGGCGTCGCCGTGGGCGTCACCATTGTCGCCCTTGGCGGCTACAAGATCATCAAGAAGATCCAAGCGCAAAGCAACGACCCGCTCCAGCCCATGCCCATGAACGCCGCACCCGCCGGCACAGCTGCCCTCCCTCCCCGCGTCGACGAAGTCCACGACACGCACGAGCTCGAGGAACTGGAGCCCCAGGAGCTCTCGCGCGTCGAAATGTGGCGCCGCGGTATCGCCGACGTGGCCGAATACTCGGCCGGCACCAGCGTGGACGGCGAATTCATCACTCCCGGTGCCTCGCGCCAGCTCATTGCCGCCGGCGTCTTGGACGAAGACGACATGAAATCCCGTCGGAGCACGCGCTCGCGCCGCGACAAGGAGCGCGATGCGGAGTCGCGTGCGGGTCGCAGTCATCGGGCCAAGAGCGTGGTCAGCGAGAAGAGCACGCGCAGCCACAAGACGAGCCGGACGGGCAAGACGGGCGAGACGAAACGCAGTAAGACGGTCAAGGAGGGGGCCAGCAAGAAGAAGGAAAAGGAGCCGTCGGGATTGAAGATGTTGTTTCGAAGTCATACGACGCATGCCTGAAGAATTACGTTGATGATGGAATTTGCACTCGGGGATTTCGCACCTTAGCACGACGATGGACGGATGGACGGCTAGATGGGTACGTACACACGAGATTCAAATCGGCATGACCATGGCGTTTGGCGTATCTTTTCTTTTCTTACCTTCATCATCTCCTTTTTCCTCTCTTCCCCCTTGATATGATCAATCTTGTCCCTTTGCGGACTTTTGTACATGGCTCACGCATTTAGCATTCACGGTGTGCTACATTTGGCTACAATTTTCCACTTTTTTTTCTTTATCTTCGCACAGTTCGCATACCTTTTTAAACTATACACATTGTTGTCTTTTTGCGGCATGAGGTATGGGTATGGGTATAGGCATGGGTTTGCTTTTGTGTAGATGATGTTCATATCGATGCTTATATGATACTCTATACTAAGACTTGATCGATAATACCTATCCAACATGTCTATCCAACATTCTACACATCATTACTGCTTGATATCGAGCAGGTAGCCCTCGTCCTTTTATCGCATGGTGTGTCCAGGTATACGGGATGCGGAATTGCTTCACCGGGAGTATGCATGTATGCGATTTCAGACATATTCATTTGCTAATAGGTAGCAAAGGACATAGTGCCTACATCGCCGGTCACGCAATATGCACAAATCCATCATGGTTCAATATTTCTCGGTATTTTCGATATCAGTTTTTTGTTGTTTCCAAGTTGATTTGATTTGATGCAGTTGTTAAATATACTGGGGACCTGGGTACTCGGTACTGGGTCTCGATGCCTTAGTTATGGGCAGAGGAGTCGGTCTCTCGGCAGTGCTGTGTACCCAAGGTAGGTGGGTGTGTATGATGGGCATGCGATGTGCAAGGCGCTGTGTGTCTCCGGTGGTCGTGGGGAAGAAATATTCTCAGATGAATTGTATACAAGGTGAAGAGTTTGGCGATGTGGTTGATCGCTATGGTTGATCGCTAGAGAGAGAGAGAGAGAGAGAGAGAGAGAGAGAGAGAGAGAGAGAGAGAGAGAGAGAGAGTGTGTGTGTGTGTGTTAGGAGTCCGTTCAATTGCGTTCTTCGAGTACGTAGGGGGAATGCTGGATCGGCACTTTCTTGAGTTGGTACCTTGCATGTCCATCACATCCATCCTCCTCCTTCCCCCGTCTCTCTTCTCGGCAACTTCACCCTCCCAACCACCGGTTTATCAAACTCCTGGCATCACGCTTCGGCCTTGGTCCTGCCTTACGCTCGCCCGTCTTCTTGGCCCCCTCGTCTGGTTTCTGCATCGCTGTTGTGCCTTTGATGCCCTGGCGCAGCGGTGCGCGGTAGCTCTTCTCTACGCGCGAAGAAGGTGCTGGGGCGTGTGTGCGTGTGGAGTGGAGTTGGGTGTGGCGTGGGGAGGAGGGGGTGGGGAAGTGGGTGGAGTTAAGATGGGAGCTGGGCTTGGAGCTGGGATGGTAGGCGAAGGTGGAAGTCTGGAGAGGGTGAGAAAGCTGGCAGAGACGGTCTTGGTGCATGATTTCCTGGGGTTTTGCTTTGGGCTGTTGGTGAGGCGTTGGTGGTGCTAGGTGCTTGCCATCACGGTGATGGGTAATGTGTTCATCAGCCGCGACGGCGGCGGCATCATGCTGGTGGCGGGGCGCGGGCGTGGGAGTGGACTGGTAGTTGTGATTACTCTGGCCATTTGTGATCTCTGAGTCGCTTGAAGCCAGGATTGACTGCTCAGATCCGAGATTGTTCTTCACGTTTGGTGATTCTTGTGTCCTGTCAACGTGGACTTGGAAAATGGGTTGCGCCTTGTCTGGGAGAGGTGTCTGCAGCTTGGAGTGAGACGCTGCATTACAGTCCTCAAAGTCATTGCGATAGTTTCGGGAGCTGGGATGGTACTCGCGAACTGGTTCATTCCTCTTGCTGTCTTCGCTGCGATAGTTCTCTCGAGCACGGTAGGACCTAGTCTCATTGGTCGATGGACTGCTTGATCGAGCACGCTGGCTGCCAATGGCTCTGCGTGGTGAGACGGCTCTGCCACGTGGAGTATGTTTCAGAATGGTTGCAGTGCGCTCTCGTTCTTTCCTTGGTTCCTGCGGGATGGCTTCCAACTTGCGATCAGGTTTGACTGTTGGCGTCTCGTGACTGGATACCAGAGAGTCTGATTGCTTGCGACCTCGTATCTCTTCTTGGTGAATGTGCGATGCGCCAAGGACACAATCGACTTGTGGATGGGGCTGTGGAGTATGCTCTTGGTTGTGCTGAGTCGACGCAGTGAGCTTTGTTCGCTTGTTCGCTTTCTGCGAGGAAGGCTGCTCATCTTCGACGGGGCGCTTCCTTCTACCAGGTGATAAGATGCTGTTGGCCTTGTTGGAAGATGTCGTGTAGCTTGGGTGTCGTGCTGGATCATAAACGATGAATGCCGCACGAGGCACAAAGTCGCTGCGTCCACTCTCGTTATGATTCCAGTTCCTATGCTTCGCATCCCGTTTCCACTCAATTTGCTCCTGTCCATAGTCCTCTAAGGGCTCAGGATCCGGGGTATCCTCTCGCAATGACGGAGCAAGTGACGGGATCGCGCGTTGGGTTTGGTGATAGTTGGCCGATACCTGTTCTAGTCTCTTTACTGGCTTGATGTCTTCACCATAGATGTTTGGCAGAAAGAGTGAGCCCAGCTCCCCATCTTTGGTATTTCCCTCTGCATCAAGCGTGACGGAAGGTGTAAACTGCTCAGAATGTAACACCCTCTCAGCTTTGGATTCAGCAAATACTCTAACTCCTGCCTCCTCGGCGACCTTGCGATACCGGGTAACCATCATGCTGGCCTTGACTTTAGCCTTGGCGATCGATCGAATAGCATCGGGGAACCCGATGGTTTGAAAGGCGGAATCCGTGTAGTTGGATTTGGTGTCGCTGTCGCTCAGTGGCGCAGCCAGGAAGGGCTTCCCATATCTATGCTCATATGCAAAGGCTCCACCACCTTTTGTGTATCGCCCAATCGCTCCAGTGCCCACTTCCGTTACCAGAGCATTGCGGCCGAAGATTTCCAAGTATTGCCAGACGTCACACAGTGGTTGTGTTTGGATGCCAGTGCTTTGGTATATCGTTGAGGTTGCTGCAGCCGCGTCTTCGGTTGCGCCTGGCACGTTCTGTACATTGACCTCCAGCTGAGTCGCATTTTTCGCACTCACTACGCGAGCGTATCCATCATACAGCATATCTGCTGCCCTACTATAAAGAACTTGGAGAGATTCCATGTTGTTTGGATGTTTGTGTGATCCGTCGCTGAAGGAGCTACAAGTTGATAGACTGTTGTTTGTGTTTTAGCAAGAGAAAAATAGAAGCTTCGTGAATTCCGTGTTGTTGAAAAAGAAGAGTAGCCAGTTGAGCTTGAAGTACGGTAGAGGTAGGTGTTGGCTTTTGTAATAGGATTGGCGGGGGTTGACTGCCCACAATGCGAGGAGGCGCTAGTGACCAAACGACCAACCTCTCAATGGAGCACAGCACCAGGTGAATCCAATTCGACGCTGGATAATTTCGATGACTCGCAGCTATTGTGAAAGTGCTATTGTGTGCAATGACACCAACAGTCACTCAGTGTCCAATCTCATCTGCATTTCTTGGCACTTCATTCACTGGGAAAAGCGGCTAAGTCCTTGTTTTAGCATGAGCCGTGATCCAGAAAAAAAACCGGAAGGATTACGTCATGGGCGAATTAATTATGAGGAACTCGAAGTTCAAACAATAGAGTGTCGAAGGATGCAGGAGAACGCAATGCCATGCACTATTGAACATGGTATACATATTCAAAACGGCACCAGCAGAGTCGACTTGGTAGTGATTGATAGCATGGGCAAGCCCGTTGCTGCTACCTATGACAACTAGTACCAATGTTTTCAGTATTTCTTAAAGGCCGTCAAATTGTTTGCTGACCCATAAAACAAGCGTATGAGAACATAAATGGCCATTGGGTCGTCCAAAATACAATGTATGGATGCATGAAAAGCAGCCTAGTTTGATAACAAGGAAATGTTAGAACGTGCTGCAGGATATCAACTACCGAAAACATGACACGAACACGATTCCAACTTGCGTTGACTGAACAACATATTATCGAGGGAAAACCGAGGGTGATAAACCCAAGAGCTGGGAGCTGCTGCAAATCCTGAATCTGAAGCTCTCATGATCATGAGCGAACCTTCCATGATTAGTAGGGTGATCAGAGTCCCAAGTGCGCGGCCCAGCAACCTACTCGGTCTCAGATAGGGGGTCCCGGTATTTGAGGCAATTATCAAGTCGTATAAGGGGTACCAAATGATTTCTGAGGTAGCTCATGTGGGGGTAGCAGGAAAGGATTTTTTGAGCAAGGCGAGTAGGTGACGATTTAATTGCGGAGAAAAGGAGACTCGGGATGTAACGAAGACTTAGAAGAACTAGCCAAGGAGAAGGTCGGCCCAATCGGCATATAGTAGTTAAACGGGGACAGTGTTCGAATTGAGGGTAAACCTACCTACAGTTCGTGTGCGCAAGTTACCATAACAGACGGCCTCACCGTGAAGCACTCATCAGCAGACCATTGGACCCAGGGTGACAAGTGTAACATCACTATCACATTCACTTTATATATTGAATACTAACAAGCGATAAGCCTTAAGATTGCGTTACATGCCTTTGGTCCGCCAAAGCGCGTTCTGAATAGAGTCTTGGCAGCGAAAGTGAGTGCAAACGCGTTCGCCTTCCATCTATGTCACTCCCAGCCCACATGAAGACTCGATCTGGCCTCCATAACTTTTCTTCTCCAACACTCTCATTCAACCTTCACTCTCAATCAGCTGACACTCGCAACGTCGACTGCACATACGACCAATGCCCCAACTCGACATGTAGGTGCAACACTTCGCCCCAAGAAGCTACGGCTTCATTGTCAAATCGCTCAACATTTCGAACCTCTCAGATTCAATATCCGTAAGCCCAATGACTCCGTTCCATTGACATTCCTGCGACCCAGCATTGCGCGCTCGCGTGGCATTCTCGTCGATCTGTGCAAAGGTACCGGTGGAGAGCTCGAGTCCACTAGAAGAATAGAAGAGAAACGAGCGCATATCAATAAAAACCACATTGTTGTGCGTAATGAACGCAGACGGAGAGACGCCTACCTGCGCCAGGGGATCAGCCCGTCTCAACATGAGGGCCAGTATAGACCAGCGCTTCGACGTGAACCTTCACGCCGATTCGGCGCACAGGCTTTCTGGTGTCACTTTTCCCAGAGCAAGAGGCTGAAGATAGTCGAATGGCAGCGCGTATATGCCCAAAGACTAAGTGGCCAAATCGATGCGGACGATGAGAAGAGATTGGCCGGGCTGAAAGATGATGCTGCCAACGTATGAACACCTTCTATATACCTATCTGAATTTGTGTATTATTTCTAATTTGTGTTTAGCCCGACCAAAATTTGAGGAGTATGGACCTCCCAAGGTTCAACTAGAAGCAATTTATATGTCTATGCCACGACCTCGTCCACGTCCTGGTGAGAGCCATGCCACTTTTTACACAGCTCATAACCAACACCTCATTCAAGGAGGATGCCTTCTTAGTGAAGAATTGGATTGAGCAAGTTGTTTTGCGGACCGAGTGGGACTGGGATTTGTTCCGAAGAATACATGAGACCTACTACAAAAACTAGGAGCTCTCGTTTGCTGTCACCAAGGACTCTCTGATCGTAGTCTACCATTTGGAGGCACTCGCAGAGGTTACCAAAGTCGTACTGCCCCGTCTCTGTCTCACGCAAGGCTCTTTTTACGATCAGTTTGCCTGCATCCACAGCAGTGAGCATGTCGGACTGCAGGGTGGATTGGACGATGACTCTCATCCTACACAAATAAAAGATAGTATGGACGAAGACCTAATCGAGATGCCAGATGCAGACATCCAGTTGAGGGATTATGAAGATCTTCCATCGAATACGGGTGGCATCAATCAGTCATATATCAATACGGGCATGGCCCATGATACGAGCAGAGCTGCCCAGACCCCTGCCAATGGCCCAGACGTTGTTACGAGCGATGCTGACACGCCTACATCAGTTTTCTGTAAGTTTCACATCAGATGTATGCATTCCATCCCACTGATAGCACTGCCGTCGCTCACAGCCTCGATAATTTGCACCACGGCACCAGTAGCTGCTTCTATTCTTCCACATCAAGTGGCGGCTCGAGCTTTGGCAGCCTCAGTTCTGGGACCACAAGCTTTGGACGTACGAGTATTAGCGATGCCAGTATTGCAAGGCCTACATCCACTACGGTACAAAACCGGTTTACAGTAGCCATATTTATCTAAAGTAGACTAAGAAGTGGTTTAGGTAGAAGAAGTAAACCTAAATAGGGTTTATTATACTATGTATTCCACAAAAGTAAACTACTTTTATTTCTACTTCTATTAATCTACTAGTATTACGTAGTAATAACTAGTTTCCTACTAACTATTTAAGTATTTTACCCCTCCTTTCTTTAATCTTCTTCACCACCTCTACCACCTCCAGTACCTCTACCACCACCTCTACCACCTCTACCACCACCTCTACCACCTCTATCACCTCTATCACCAGGAATGGTCTCACAATTCGCCGTCTACCCTATTGATACCTTGAAATTGTAAGCCACCTGCATCACCACGATCTACCACCACCTCTACCACCACCTCTATCACT